CGCATGGCTCCTGGTGAGCAATATATTCGGTCAAAATAATATATTATAAATACAAGTGGTTCTCTCCTCAACTTGCTAAAGCTATTTGCCCTATTATTGACATGTATGAAGACCTTTTGTTAAGAAACGTGAATTTCTCGACTGCGTTATCCTACACTTAGTCACTGATTTTATGCTAAGGATTATGACATGTACTCCTGGGAACGAATGGTGGTATAGTTATCTTCCACGGGCGAGCGGCATAGATAGGATGGAGAATGGACCGGCATAGTGGAGCCCAATGCGAATATAATGCTATGTAGGAAGATAGTTAGGGCGGTCGAAGTGAGCGGTAAATATGAGCGGCGGGACGAGGCTGATTGGCACTTGGCTTAAGCCGCCTAAGACCACACTTGTTCGTCATCCCGCTCATCTGCATTAGGCCATCCATTTTTGGCAACCATGTCAACAAATACTACTAGTCAGTACAGTACCCTCTAGCTAACTTGGATTTCACACCCACAATAATAATTGGTCTGCCCCTCCAACTACCAACAGGTCTTCTTCCAACTCGTGTCTTGGAGACCATTATACCTGATAAACCATATCACATCTCCCATCTCCCCTGTCAAAGGCTAGAAGCGTGCTCATCATGGCGACTCCTCGGAGGAGATCTGCCAGGCTCAGCCGAAAGAGTTCCACTCCTGATGTAAGTGCCTGTTGGACGAGATCAAAGTATCTGGGACGCGCCATGTTCGTCCTTTACCTTGGATGATAGACGATCGTCTCTGTTAGCTAGATGCTGATTCGTTACAGAGACTGTCAGCGCGAAAGACTCCTCTTCCTCATATACAACTGGGATCCCTCGTGGAACGTGATGAAACTCCTGAAGGCGGACCTCAATCTACCCTTGACACCATCGTATCGTCCCCAAGAGCGCCAGCAGATGCCAAAACCCATGAACAACTCAATCAGCTGTATGCCGTCAAGACTCCTAAGACTCTTCCTCGTCTCGCCCATGCAGAGATGCATCCAAAGGAGGTTCATCAAACAACTACCAATGCACCAGATTCTGGTCTACGATTAGGATTTGCTGATATCTCACCCACAAAGACCAGCAACACACTTGCCGACGCTCAAAATACCCCGACCAAAAGAGCGCCGCGGGCAAGCCTACCACATCATCTCACAGCTGCTGGCTTTGATTTCAAGTTTGCTTCAGAGTCCCACCTGAGTGAAGAGGCTCAAATGCTGATGAATAATGTACGCGAGGATGCGGAAAGAATCAAGATGCATATCCTAGCCGAAAAAGGTACTCAGGCACGCAAAGATGATGAAGCTAAGCGATTGTTTGGTGGTGTCAGTGCCACTGGACGGAAGATGGCCAAACCACAAGGGAAAGCGGGTAGGTTCAGTGATGTGCATATGGCGCAGTTCAAGAAGATGGATTCAATTGCCAACCATCCATCCTCATTCCGAGCGAAGCCGAACTTCGCGCAGCCTACCCAGCAGTCGCTAAAGCGAAGTGGTTCCAAAGCTGGATTGGATGAGGCTGAGCGACCTCAAACTGCAGGAAAGGGCACTCTTGGTAAATCTGCTCCCTTGTTCGGTCAAACAAACACAAGCTCCAACCCACAAAAACCATTATACAGCCTCTTGATGGAGTCGAATCGCCTCGACAACGATGCGCCAGCAAAGAGACGAAAATCCATCTTTGGTGATGTATCTGCCGGGCGTGCTGCAATGAAAGACGACGAAGATGCGGTGTCAAGATCGTCGACTCTACCCCGACCCAAAGGCGGACTGCCCGCGTCGTTGCTCACTCCTACCAAGGCCTCGCTGGCACGCTCAAACACTGCCAAAATTCCTCTGGCTTCACCAGGCAAGGTCTCTCTTGTGCCTCGATCGAATAGTGTGAAGTCGTTGAAGGCGGCTGATATAATGAATTCATCGTCTGATAGTCCCGAACAATCATCTTCTCCGCCCAAGCAGGTTGGCTTGGTGCGGTTGGAAAGCACGAAATGCATGCGTCCTCTTCCACCACTCCCGACCAATGCCCTTTCTAGCCCTGCCAAATCTTCCAACATTCCTACCTCGAAGCCACTTCCGGCTATTCCATCTCTAGCCTTAAGCCCCGGCAAGCCAAGTCTGAGCTCAAGATTGCCAACCTTCCAAGGTTTGAAGTCAATCTTACGACCCACTCGCCGAGGGATCGGCAAGACTATTCAGTCACCTACAAAGGATACATCAGCAGGCGACACTCCAAAGAGACCCAACACCGCAGCTCCCTCCGAATCCGACTCCATCAAAAAAGTCGACTTCACACCCAGCACCAAGTCCCGCTATGCCGTCAAACTAGCAGCAGCGAGTCCCAGTCCCAGCAAACTTCCCCAAGCAGATCCGATAGGTAGGTCCGGGCCCCTTAGCCCTTACGACCCAGCAGCCTACACCCTCTCCGAGTCCAGCAACGACGACGCAGGTGAAGACGAATGGGAAGACGCTGAAAGCGAAGTTGACTATCCCGTCCTTCCCCTTGCAGCAAGTAACAACAACACCTCAGCAAGAGATTTCACTGCGAAAGCCAAGGATCACTCCCGTCGTGAAAGCAAGGAATTCAAATCCATCTTCACTACGCTTGAACATCCATCTCGGTCTAACACCCCAACGACTCTTACAGACGTCAATACCAAAGTCAACGTCCGAGGTGCGGGAGTGATACCGCCTTATCAACAACAAAAGCAGCAGGCTAACGTCGTTGCTCGCTCCCCTAGCAGCAATGTTAATAATATGCGGTATACCGTGTCTGCTAAGCCCTCTCCTTCTACAATTCGAAAAGTGAGGTCTTCGGGGGTAAGTGAGTTGGTTCAACCGTTCGAAGATACGATCAGAACTGTCCCGCATGGATTGCCCGGGAAGAAGCGGCGGAGGGAGCTGGATGATGAAGGGGATGACGCGAAGGAGAACCGACGAGCCTCTATCATGCCTAATGTTCCGGGCGCATGGGATAATGGACATTGGGAGGGCAAAGTGGTGGATGTGGATGAAGGCGAGAAGAGAGGTGGCAAACGTGCTAAGATTCAACCGAAGCAGACAGAGAAGGAGGTTGGACAGACTGCAGCTGGCAAAGTGCTCAAGAAACCTAATAAAGCGCGTGAGGCGGCGGCGAAGAATGCTAAGGACAGGAAGTCGGGCTTTTCTGGACAGACTCAGGCTCAGGCACAGAAACAGAAACAGAACTTGGGTAAGGGTGGAGAGGAGAAGGAGAAAGCTAGCGGTGGTGGTCGTGTAAGTGGTGCAAGTGGAAGGGGGATCTTGAGCATGTCGAGATTGAACATGTTGAGTCGGCCCAAGGAGAGGAGGTAGATTTGTTCATTCGCTGATGGTTGGATGGATGGATGGATGGGTGGATCGTGAGAGGGAGAGGGAGAGGGAGAGCAAGAGTGAAAGCGAACGAGGGAGGGATGGTTGTTTGCGTGGCTGCTGCGATGGCATGGCATGGCATGGCATGGCATGATTGGATTGGGTTGACCCGAAGTCCGTGGTTTGGCTTCACACTGTCAACACAGAAAATCTTCTTGTTCTTGTCTTTTTACTGTTTGTTGGCTGCAGTGAGTAGCAGTGGGAGTAGCATGATGCTGGATAAGCCGGCCCTTGGATCCTGGGCCTTGGTTGACGATTGATCGCTCGGTCATGAACAGACAAGATCGGCAAGTGGAAATCATGCCCGTTTATTATTCCGTTCGTGACTTCATGTAAGTGTCATGCTACGTTACTTACAAAAACAGAGGGGAGTGTTTATGTCCTATTCCATCATATCAGTCAGTACCGTACCCGGCTGTAGTGCTGGGTCGAGTAAGATGGGATATTATGTCGAGTCGAGACAAGGGAGAAAGCTACTGCCTGCCAACTAGATAGTTCCCTACAATCCCAGTTCTATCTAGTTAGTTGTTCCCAGTCCCATTCCGGAGTCACTGCATCGAGCGAGTGGGGTGGGCAGTTCTACCACGGTCTTGATTCTTGAGGTTTGAAGTCAATTAGAGTTTGAGGGAGGAGGTGGGTTGTGCGCATGTTCGTGGCAGCTTTTGTTTCCCTCCTTACTTTGTAGGGAATGTAGGGTTTTCTGCCCCTGCCCCTGTCCCTCGATCTGGCTCTCGCCAGCACTGGGCAGTTTTTCTTGCGGTACGAGTAACTAGGGAGGGAATGCGTTCTGTATCGGTTGGCTGGTTGGTCTGAGCCGAATAGTCCTTGACGTTTACAAGGCATGATCTCTGTCTTGTTGATGTATCCGACGAGTGGTTAACTTAAGTAGTGATCATGGGCGCTACTGTGGGGTTTTCTGGCTCATTGACGGGTAGGCTGGAAAGGAGGGGGCGCCGGGGAGGGAGTAAGCAGTAAGACCCGAAAGGGCGAAGAAAGCACAGTCAGTATATCAAGGATGCATGTCAAGAAAGGACAAGCAGGCTGATGAATAAGAAGTCTGCGGCGGTTTCCTGATCTCCTAAATAAATACAAGCATCATTTCAGCGTAGACTGTGAGCTTCGGATAGAGGAAAGGTACACACAAAACGATAAAGCAATGGGGAGATTGTGCACTACAATAACAAATGCCGGAATCAGAAGATGAGCCAGCTTCCCTAGCTGAAACATCGTTGATGTGGAAAGTATAGATCATCCCATGAAGACCACGATGGTGATCGCAACAACCAATCCGCCAAGCTCACTTCTTAAGGGAACATGCACTGCCGTAGCAACGCCTGTGTACATCGGACTTGCAGTGGGGATCGACACAACTGTGACCCTTCTTATATCGGCGGTACCGGTACCTGCTTTGTTGGGCACAGCTGGGTTGGCAGCGGCTTCATCTACAGCTAAAGATGGCAGTAAAGAGGATGATGGCGACAGAACCGCGATAGGTCGAGATGATACTGAAGGCTGCAGTGAGGGCGCTGGTGCTGGTGTGGGTGCTGATGCGGATTCGGCTCCAGATATAGCTACCATGCTGGAAGGGATAGCCTGGTAATGCTGTGCTTGCCCGATCAGGGATGGCGGCGCAGTAGGAGCAGCAGGAGCAGTGAAAGAAGACAAAATAATGGGGATGGATTCGTGATTTGCTGCTACATTCGAAGTGAGACTAACGTTCGCACTCGGCATGGCGGATGTATTGGCCACGGTCAGAGCGGCGCTATTAGACGTTGCATTGGCCGAAGTGGTGCAAGAAGTGGAAATAGATGGTGCTGCTGCTAGGGATGAAGATGCCACTCTCTGAGATTTGAGCGTTGGAGGAACTGAAGAAGAGCTAATCTGTACGGAGGTTGAGGATGCACTGGAAATGCCCACTGCGATAGAGGGGGAAATGCTGGACGTAGCCATCAACCGCGGAGCAGAATCTGTTGAAGTCGCAGATTCCCCAACCGGGGAGAAAGTTGTAGGCAAGGCCTTGAACACAAAGTCACTGAATGTGGTGCTGTCGTCAGTAAAGGTACCCACTGGCGCAGCCCCAACAGGTGCTGTGGAGTCTGTCTTAGTCGCATTTGAGGAGGATGTGGAGCTTAGACTGGTGCTCATTGTCAACTCCGATAATGGACTCGGGGACAGTGGGCTGTATGAGCTGTACTGGGATGTTGAAATATCTGCTTGGGGGTAGATAGAGTATGGGCTATTAGCACTCGTCAAGGCAGTGAAATTCCGCGCGCGAGAAGGGCGAAGAAAGAATGAAAGCAGGATCGCAATGCTCCATCCCCGAACGAGTGATAGGGCAGGCATTGCGACATGCGAATTGAATAATGAGGAACATATGAACGACAGTATGGAAGCAGAGGTATCCAAAAGCAATGGAGGAGGGAAAGGGCATTGTTGCTGTCATTCTCTTTTGGCCCATCAGCATTCCTCGAGAACGTGATTGGGAGCTCAGACTTCTGACGATGTTTGTACTCGCACATTCTGAAAATACCCCGGCCATCTGTGGGTCCCATTGGGAAATTGATCACGTGGCTGGCATTAACTGTCCCTCCACTCCGGTGAAGCTAGGGTATTGACGAACGCTGAATGAACACATAAGATGAGCATGGAAGCTACCTAAGAGAGCAGCTTGGCCATAACACTTAGTCATAGGCCCAAGGCCTAAGTGAAGAAGATTGTCAAAAATTGTCAAAAATTGTTAGAAGTCGTCAGAAATTGTCAGAAACGTTGATGGGTCGCCTTGATCGCTGGTACTCGGGCGTAGCTGTGAAAGGCAACTAAGCTGCCGCAAAGGGTCTTGCAAGCTTTCGTCGACCAGAGCAGCATCATCAACCGGCTGTCAGCCTTGTTCACAATTGTCAGACGTATGAGTACTCGCCTAGTTATTGGCCAATTTTTCTACGTGTAATCCAGCGTTCCGCCTGCTTTTGATTGGTAATTTCAATTTTGCAGCTGGTTTCGCTGTACTGTAACTTACAGCCAGTTTGTACGTACTAGTAGCATATTGCTAAGACAAATACGTCACCACCACAATTTCTCTCAGCCTTCTCTCGTCAGCATCTACCCAATCGATCTGAAACGGTACAGCCATGTGCTTAGGGGTTCAGCGATAATGTCCAAATTTTGTTTTGAGGGACAGGTATTATGTGCATTTAATTACTGATTGTTACGCGTTCTGCCTGAGCTCCGCAGCATCTGTACGTATATATACGCTCTCTACGAACTCATCCAGATAGAACAACTTGCTATTTGCACTCAATTCATTTAGCCTGTTCATCAGCACCCGAATAGTGCCAACAGCCCTTACAAAGCCCAACATCATCATAGCAGGGCGCGCCAATAGAAATAGAACTTGTGCAGCAGGAGGAAGAAAATGGCTCTATTCGTTCAAAAAAGCTGCGCAGGGTGCAGAAATAAGTACAAATTTGCTGTACGGCACAGCGAAATTAGCCGTGAAATTGCAGTAGAAATCGACCAATCAAAAGCAGGCGAAACGCGCAGGGATTTCGCGTAGAAAATGCAACTAATGAGCGCTCCTGCCGTTCAACAGAACTACAATACGCTCATGCCCGCCGCCGCCAGCGCTCCCGCGAATGGAAGCACACGAGAGATGATCTCGCGGCTCCCAGAACTAGTGACTGCTTCTGCGGTAGTATTTCCGCCTGAGCCACCCGTCGTTCCTTCGGCCCTTGCCCTCGCCTGCTCCCATGGACCCAGATCAGGCTCGCAACGAGTACCACGCTCAGGGAGCATACCATCTTTGAAATATGCCTGGATGTGCCTGGCCAGGCATTCCGAGGGAGAAACAAGTACACCGTGGCCGTAACCGCTATGTGGCAGCACAACGCTTCCTTCAAAGCTCGCGCTACCATTGTAGGCACTTGCAAGGGGTGTGGTTGGATCATACTCGCCGTTCACATACAAGATCGGGTGCTTCGTCTTTACCCTAAAGTCACCCGTGTATCGCTCTTTTGCGTCCATCTTCCAGCGGGCTGATGTCCAGAGTGATTCGTATGGAAAGTTGAACGAGCTCACGGTATTTTGATACTCGACCTGAGGCAAGTACTCCTGGGCGGAGTTGGTCCGCCAGAGGGCGTCGCTGGCCCGAATGCCGACCGTGGCCCAAGGATCGCCGAGATTGTATGGTTCCACCATGGGTTCGGGAGCAGCGCCAGCTGTTTGGGTGTCCGTTCCATTGAGAACATTGGTAATTGTTTCTGCCAGTGTGGGCCAATTGAAGGGATAGTACAGTTGTTGGAGGATTATCCCTTGGATGCCAGTGAACGAGCTCCACGCTTCGGTACTGGTACTGGCGTTCGATGCCACCGGTGTCAGAAGCTGGTTGATGGGGTTGAGCAGGTCTGCTGTCTCATTGGCATTCGTGTACTGTGCCAGAGCGCATTCGTCCTTGTTCTTCAAGCACTCCTCTAGAAAAGCTAACAGAGCCTTGTCTGCGTCGACGAAGGCCTCTCCATAGTGGCCGATCTGATAGTCGTGGGGGTTCACATTTGCATCGAGCACGACTCTCTCTATCCGTTCAGGGAACATTGCTGCAACATACGAACCAAGAGCAGTGCCATACGACCAGCCAAAGTAGCGCAAGAGGCCGTCTTCGCCCAAAGCATCGACAATTTCCATCATGTCACGCGCAACAAACGCCGTGCCGATATATGAGCCAGTCCCGTTCATAGCAGTGTAGCATGCATCTGCAATCACCCCAGCGGTATCCCAACCCCCATTCAAGAAACGTTCCGTAAGATTACCACTAACCAATACATCATTGTCGCGCTTGCGGGTGCTTATGGTTGTTCTGGGATCTTCAATCCTGCAGTCGAATGGGATGGTCTTGCCGGTGCCGCGGGGGTCCCATGATAAGAGATTCCACTGTTCGCCGATATTCGCGGCCAGTTCTGCAGCGAGTATCGGCAGATTCTCGGCGGCCGTGCCGCCTGGTCCACCGAAGTTGATCAGTACTGTTCCCAGCACCGGCTCCTCTGTGGCATTGACTCTGAACAAGTCCAGGTCAAGTGGCTCCGATTCGGGGTTGGTATAGTCCAGAGGCACGGAGAGTTTCGCGCAATCAAAAGGCGTTCCCTCCACTCCAACTAGCGCTGATATATTCCTGTTCAACTCAAGGCAAGGCTGCCAGTCAATACCGGGTTGGGCCGGCAGCGCGTTGGCGGCAGTAGAAAGACTGATTGCAGTTAATGCAAGAATGAGTGACATTTTGTCTGCGTCCGTGTGAAAATAACGAAGAGGAAAGAATATGATGATGCGGGACATGCGAGCTGTTGCCCGGGCTTTATAGATGAAGCGGCGCAGAGATCATTGCCGGAGACATTGCGAAGGATGTCCGGCATGACTATACTAAAACTGGCCGACAGCGTCACATTACGAGGCGATGCTACGAGGGAAATTGTAGCGCTGACAAGCCACTCTTGGAGCCTTTCGTTACAATGCCTACTCCTCCGAGTCGGAAAACAGTTTCAGCAAAGTCAGGTAGTAGATGAAGTCTACTCAAGAGCAGGGAGGAACAGAAGGTTCGCTGTGTTCGTACGACCTTGGACATCCTTCCTTAGTAGTACTCTCAATCGATTGGTGTTGGAGGAGCACTATGCTCGACTGTCAGGACCAGGCTGACATCACTTTAAGACAATTATAATTCTCTTGGCAGGGGGAGCGCACCATTTAACCCATCCGGGCAGCTTCCCGAAGGGATTTTGAAAGCCTCCGCCTCCTGAGTCACGAGCTTTCTTGTATTTGGATTACTGGTTGCCTTAGTAGCTCAGCCGTACTATTTTAGACCAAGCTGACTAAGTCAGTTGCGGTAGTACGTCTGAGGGCAGGAAATGGTATTTTTCCTCAATTGTCATTACGTCTTATGATTTTTGGGTAATATATATAAAGACGCATAGCGCTAATAAATATAACCAATGTTTAATTTTAATTAATCTCTAGAACTATCTCTTATGTTGATGCAGTGGATAAACTGAGTTATCTCCTACGGTAGGAGGCATATTAAATGTAACCCCTGCCCTAGTAACAACTTGTAACGCCAAGATAGAACGCAACACAATCGCTCGATTAGGACTAATCTAATATCTATCTTACTACGGCTACAGGCCTAATTTTTGTTACCCCCCCTAGTCAAAATATCTTACAAACATGTTTTTTACACGCCCTACCCTGTCAACATCCCTGTCAGCATCCCTATCGCTATTTTGCAAGAATTTTGCTCATCCTGCAAATTCTGCTCATTCTACTCTGTACGCATTCTACTAATTCTGCATGGATATTAATCAGCTTAATGTGTCACGTGTCACGTTGGAAGCAGGCGACGAGTGCGCGAGATCTTCAGCCCATGTTGAGTGCTATCCTAAGACTGGAGAGTCGACGGTGAGGGCCCTGGGGTCGCTTCTATATAACAAGCATGCCCCTTACTAACGTCTAGTGCCAATCAATACCCGGCGCCCTAGCGCTAGCAGGCGACAAGCATGGCAGCCGTGACATAATGATAGCGGCAGCTATTAAATGCTTCATATGATGCTATTTCTTCTGACTATCTTAAGAAGCTGCTTTAGTAGATGTAGGCGAGAATTCAACCAGTGGCAGGTGTCAATAAAATGTAAAATCCTGATTTTATAAACTAGTCCTTATTGGGCCAGTTTGCAGTCCTCTATACTTAATTCTACTTAGCATGTTTTGTACGGATACTAACCTTTTCAGCAGGGGGGGACAAAAATTAGGCCTGTAGCCGTAGTACATCGAGTGCGCATCCCATTGGCATCTATAACTGTCTGGCATCTTGCTGGCATTGATTGGAGTCGTTGTACGGAGTAGAATGAGATGGATAAGTAGAGGAAGCTCCACGCGGCGGCGAACGCGGTGTTCGATCAACCCCCAGTCCGCCTGCGAAGGATTGGTGCCTCCACGCGGCGCAGGATGGGAACCTGATTTTGCGACGGCAATTTCAAAGCTGAAAGCAATTCACGGCCGTATTCGGAATCTATAGTACCACCGATGGACTGGTCAACCGATGGGAAGCAGACGAGCGAGAATACGCAGGACCAAGGGGTTATCCTAGCCATACCACTTCAAACAAATCCACCTCCTTCTACCGACCCTCACTCTCGGTTCTACGGCGTCTTGAATGTGTTTGCCTCAGCCTTGACAGAGATGCGGGTCAGCTGCCTTAAAAAAGACTCTGGACACCCGGCAGGTTGCTGCCGGCACGCTCTTCCATAGCATGGGTTGCCACATGTTGAGAAATCAAGGCAGACAACACATTAAGGGAAATGCCCCTGTTGCGTAGATCTTGAATTGTGCCTCTTGCAGAATGGGAAGGAGCGCCGTCTTGCATGAACATAAGCCCTTCATCAGCGTGAAGGCGTATCCAATCATCAATAATGAGTAGAGTCCGTGCTCGATAGGTTTCTTCCGAAATAAAGCCCCATTCCTTCTCCCAGAATATGCTAGGTCCTTGTATTATACCATAAAAACAAGCCCAGAACATCCACCCTTTTCGTCGTTGAATACGTTCGATAATGCTAGTAGGATCCCATCCCTCTCCGGCGCATCGTCTTACGTAGGTTTTGGTATGTCGGTCACTATTAGCCCATATCTCATCTGACCAGAGTATCTTTTTCCATTGCTCTAGTGTCCATCCCACATGTTCAACAGCCCAAGCAAAATGGGCAACTCGATTTCGTTCAGAGATTGGAGGCCTACGGCGTGCCACCCGACATCGAAAGCAAGCGTTTTGTAGGACAGTGCGTACGATGTGATAGCTGACGTTTGAGCCCATCATGACAGGAATGTTCATCCATGAAACGCGTCGATTTCGCTTTAAAAGGCATACCCACGCGATCGTTTTTATCTATTTCATCTTGGGAGAGAGTAGAGTATCTTCCAGAGCGTTTTTTGGGCATAACACGGTGCTGGACAGCCCATTGGACTTGATTCTATGTACGGCCTGTTTGTTGGCTGATTTGCTCGTACGAAAGGCCCGCGTGCGTAAAGCAACTGTCAGAATCCCTGCGCATACGATACGTATCTGTTACGTATTAGCAGGATGATACAAGGGTCCCCGCATGCGAAACGCACGAAACGCTCTTGTAACTTTTACGCCCTGTTATTTATGGCAGTGAGCATTGCTATACGAATTGAACGCCAAATGCTGTTTCTGAGCTGTTGCAGTAATGCGCTTCTATAGCTATTAGTGTGAGCAAATGCTCCTCTTGATAGGAGTAACTCAATCAATTCAATTGGTATCTCCGTATGCTATTTGCAACAACTTCTAACAGCAACAACTCGAATTTCGATCATGGCATGTAGAGTCAGAGGCTTTCCGGCGCTGGGGAGTACTTGGCCTATTAATAGGTTCGTCGGCGTTTATTGTGTAGTAAATTCAGAAAAACGTGTTGAGATGTGACAAAAAATCAGTCAGAAATCAGATAATAAATGGCGGTAATCAGGGCGTTTTGTGACAGTACAATTAGCGCGGCACTATGAATATTTCACCCAGTAGCCGTAGTACGGTATCGGTATCGGGCAGAAGTATGATTGTGAGCATGGTGCTAAGAACGACTAGTTCTAATACAACGCCATACTCTCTTCCAGAAGCTTCTTTTATGATCCGCTCTACGCGGTACTACATCGCCTCCACCAGCTCAGGATGAAGTTGATCTGCACTATGTGTGCTTCATCAGGTCGTCTAATTGGTCGGTTTACGAGATGGGATGGAGGTACGTCTGGCCCAGTCAAGACAGACATCACGTTAAATCATGATGAGGATACGTTACACGTGTCAGCACTTGAATGTGTAAAACGCTGCATTGCTAGGGACAAGATACTTTTGCCAGAGGCTGTGTTGATCAGAACGAGATGTGGTAGTGTATGCCCTGATGTGATGGTTTGATGGTGTGTCTCTTGACTAATGTGGACGTCGTCACGATCAGGGAGATGATCGAAGATTGAAGATCTCTCGCCTCCCATCCGAACCTCCCTGCACGTATTACGTACACCGGCTATGGTACGCAAAGAATCCTTTTAAAGTTTCACAACGTCTGCTGTAGACACATGCCTTTGTGGGGGTTTTTACTTGGAATGTTGGAAGCGTTCGGCCCCATCTGACCCTAGCAGCTCATCGCCTGGCACGCTTGGGCAGCCGAAGATCGCCGCTTCTTTTGATGCTTGGGTGGAAAAAGCTGGATGGAGATGGCGACATCACCACATCACTGCAGATCCTCACTAGAGTGAGTGCAGCTGTCGCACTTCATCAGGCCTAATAGTATCAATTCTCGGAAAGACGCTGAATCGGATCAATTCGTTTGCAGCCTATGATTTGTGGAGCGCCAACATCTGCACACACATCCGGCCTGGAGTGGAACACGTTTCGCACCCCTTGTGACTCTCAAGTGCATGTTGCACGTCTTCTAGCCCCAACCCGCACCCGCCCAGAAGTTTCTCGGACCCGGATGCTCCGTTCCTCCTCCGCGCTAAGTCTCTTAGCATCTATAGTTTTACTAGACAAGATCAGCCCGAGCCGTGACGTGGATCGGCAATCTGCGTTTGAATGATCGACGTAGGAGGCCGGCAGATCGACCAACGGCAGATCAACCAACGGCAGATCGACCAACGGCAGCTCGGGAGTGCGGGAGTGCGGCAGAGTGCCTGCGCCCAATAGCGGCGACACATTAATATTCACTTCGCTGCCGCAAAAGTTCGGCACGAATTGAGAAAACGAGAATAAAACTGCCTAACAATTCCTCGTCCGCACAGGGTGTTCCCGGTCCTGCGGTTCCCTCCCTTCCGAGCACGCATACTTGCAGCAACGATCAAGCATTTGAGTTGGCCACGGCGTGGGCTAGGTACGACCTTAGCGAGACGACACGGCTGCTGAACGAGCTAGATGCGCACTAGACTCCCACAATCGACGGCGACCCTTGCAGCAAGGCCCCGGAAGACAAGAAAAGCATCGGCGTGGAAGATGCGTCATTGACAAGCCTGATACTTGTCATGAGCACTGCATGGTTTGGGATCTTTCTGGGAGCACTCGATTCGACCATCATTGTGACTCTCTCGGGACCAATCTCGAGCGAGTTCAATTCCCTCGGCCTACTCGCCTGGCCCGCCACGGCATATCTCATCGCCAATGCAGCTTGCCAGCCCATCGCCGGTCGACTGACGGATTTATTCGGAAGACGCCTCGGCCTCGCCCTGAGCAACGTCTTGTTCGCCGTGGGAAACCTGCTCTGTGGTCTCGCAACGAATCAGTATGTCATGATACTCGGGCGCGTCGTCGCAGGCGTCGGAGGAGGGGGAATGATCAGCATCGCCACATTCCTGACCTCTGATCTCACGCCGCTTCGCAAGCGAGGCATCATGCAGGCCATTGCCAACCTGTGGTTTGGCGCGGGTGCCATGCTCGGAGCGGTCATTGGCGGCCTGCTCCACGATCACACCAACACCGGCTGGAGGCTCGCCTTCCTCGCCCAGGTAACGTCCGCATTACTACTCGTTCTCGCCGTCTGGATGCTGGTCAAGGTGCTAAAGAAGCAGTCCGACAAGACGTACCTTGCTCAGACCGACTTCCTTGGCGTCTTCTTCACCTCTCCGCCCAATAGCTCTCAATCCAGGCATCATTGGCATGCCTCAGCAAGGCGCCGTCTTCTGAAATCTTCTTTGCTCTTCTTTACGTTGCAGCAGGCTTGAGATATCACCTTACGCCTCGTACTCTCCTACGATCACCAAACACAATAGTATGTGCTCAAATTTAAAGCTTTACATAGTTTAGCCATATTTATTATATCATAAAGCGTGTTATAAGAAGGAAACGCGTGACTTTACGTAAAGCGCGAAAGCCACGTTGATTTTACCTGCGCTCCACCGTATACTCATTAGATACAACTCGATCAGCAATAACCCGCCAACACTTACACCGCTGTTGTTAGCAATTAGACCACTTCAATATCACGGCGATTTCTGATCACGGCGATTTCCGACCACCGTTGGTGCAATCGAAACTCCCTGGATCTTCAACACAAGCTTTTGTTCACAGTTTTCGTCACCCAGAATCCCTTGACATGGTCACTCAGGTAGCTGTGCTTGACGATTATCACGGTATCGCCTGTTCGCACTTTGCCAAGTTGGACCCTTCTCCATATGTCATCAAGTATCTCCCAGCTACGCTACGACCGTACAACCACCCAGACACGCCCCAGGCTGAGAGGGATGAGCTGGCCGAAAGATTGGAGCCCATTGAAGTTATCGGTCAGGATGGCCCCTATTCCCCCCTCCACAGATCAACGGTGACGCCGGCCCCTTCCCAGTAACCATGAGAGAGAGAACGCCGTTCCCAAATAATTGATTGAGCGCCTTCCTCAACTCAGACTGCTCCTCAGCTGTGGCCGTCATAACAAGGCGATTGATATGGAGGCGTGCCAGTCGCGGGGCATCCCAGTGACAGGAAGCGAGGACAAGATGGCCACCGAGACGAACCCTGGAACACATCATCACGCTCATCCTGGGCGCTTGTCACGATATTGCGCAAAATGATGCCGCGCCGTCAAGGCTGGCAAGTGGCAGACCAGCCTTGTAACTAGCGTGTCTGGCAAGACCCTTGGCATAATCGGGCTGGGACGGCTGGGGCAGATCAGTAGCTCGAAATCTTCAGCGCGGCATTTGACAATGAGGATTCATCTGCTGGAGCGCCTAACTTGACACAGAGTAAACCACTGATGAGCAAGCAAAATCCCAAGGCTTGGCCATGGATGGCCCAGGTGGCGAGAAGACCTTCAAGGTTTGTGAGTCGCGACGAGCTGTTTCTCGACCTCGGACGTTATAAGCGTTCACTTGCTGCTGTCCGACCGCACGCGGGGCTTGATCACGCGCGAGGACCTGTCAAAGATGAAGCCGTCGTCCTTTTTCGTGAATACCTCTCGAGGGCCATTGGTGGTTGAGGAGGATCTGCTAGGAAAGGGAAAATCAAGGGAGCAGCGTTAGACGTATTCAATCTGGAACCTTTGCCGGCGGATAGTGAGTGGCGACGCTCGGATTGGGGGACTGATGGCAAGAGTCGCGTGCTGGTGACACCACATATTTGCCTTTGTGGAGGAGAGCGTCATGAACGGGTTCTATGAGCAGCAGGTTGGGGAGTTGCTGGGGTGGTCAAGGGGAGAGGCGTTGAAAAAGACTATGTATTGAGGGTTAGGCTATGTAGTTGGGGATGACGAAGGGTAATATACAACGCCCGTATCAACCTGCTTGCTGCTGCCCTAGATATAAGCAAGGACGTACAAGATTCTGCATCTGTTCTTGTCCCTGTTAATATAGAGCTTTCGAGCTAGACTGTAATCGATGTACTGCCCGAAAGGGCAGGGTAACTTGGACAGTCACGCATTACGCGCACGGGATAAGCTCCACTACTTCACACAACGAATTGCAGCTATGAGAGAATTAGCTGGCTTCACCGCCATTGTCCACATAGTCATGTAATTGTGAGATGCAGGCCTCTCACGGGCTGTGGAGAACATGACTGCAAAGCGTTATGATTCGTTCCTGTCTATTTCCTCCTCAACATCGCCCTTCCGCATACTCATTCTGCCCTTTTTCATCGCATCTCTTGACCATCCTCCTCGCTCTATAGCGGCGACGCAGCAATGGCGACTCAAATGCCTCCGTCACTTTCAATCGTAATAAGACTCCTGCCTCAGAGGAAGAGCGCCGCCAGCGTCTGGCAAACGCTGAGTTGGGAATCACCGGTACCGATCATATGGCCATTGCTCACTAACCCAACGGGGAATGGCAGACTGTAGCGGTCACGCCGTTCTCCGCCCTGACACTTCATACTGGGTCCAAGTGCTTTCAGTATGGGCAAACGATATTCGAGAGCATGCAAGCGTTCAAGACCCTCGAAGGCAGAATTGTCCTTTTCAGGCGCGACGAGAATGCAAGGCGGTTCAACCAGTCTGCTAGCAGAATCGCTATGCATGAGCTGCCGGAAGAGCTATTTGTCGATATGGTGAAGGCACTGGTATGGGTTGAACGCGATTGGTTCCCCATTGGTGAAGGGAGCAGGCTCTACATCCGGCCTTTCCATGTTCGCCGCGGGGAAACTCGGTCAGGTTCGCAGTAGCCAGGTTATACATCTTCTGCGTTCTTGTCTCGCCGGCGCGAAGCTTCTTCAATAAATCTGTGCTCAAGATCTACCTCGAACCGAGCCTGAGAAGAGCATCGCCTGGGGGCACAGGCAGGTCGAAATGCAGCGGCAACTATGCGGCGGCCCTTCGATCGCACCCGGAGGCAGGCGAGCACGGTTGCGATCAGGCTTTGTTTCTGGGAGAGGACGGGAAGATCCAGGAAACTCGAGGTTACGAATATCTTCTTTGGGATGAAGGACGGAACGATGCGGACTCTGCGTCTGAACGATACTGTACTGGACAGTATCACGCGAACATCGGTTATCAGCTTGGCCAAGAGAAGAGCGATCGAGGTGGAGGAGCGAGACTATTACTTCGTGGACTTCTACGACGACGTGATGCATGGGGAGGTCAGTGAAGTCTTTGGCTGCGGCACGGCGTGCAGTCTTGTCGCAATCAGTTCTTTCTACTACCCATCCCGTGAGGCCAAAACAGGCAGCAACAAGAGCGCAGTCGAGTTCGACATCAATGGCGAGGATCCATTTGGTTGGCGCTATGAGATACGTGTGCAGGATCTACCGCTGTTTTCATGGGAAAAAAACGTCCATAGATATGGCCTGTCGCTTCCGGCCATTTCATACGCCGGGAGATTAACATCTAAACGGGTCTAGGCTCGTGGATCGTGGTCTAGTCTTTAGTTTTCGGCATGTTGAAGGCTAGGAGGAAGATGTTCCGATCAAATATTTAAAAAATATAAAAAGGACTAGTTAAATAATAAAATTAGTACGTTAAGACGCATTTTCAATAAGCGATATCTTTATTTAAAGTGACAATTCAAGTGATGTTTCGTAAACTGCGGACTACTTTGTACCACGTCGAAGGCGTGCGTTGCAGGTTACAAAGGAGGTCATTAGGCTTGAGGTCAAGGCCCTTAAGAGGGAAGTAATTGTTAGGATGTGACCTAGACTCGAAATCGAGAGAGTCTCTTGACACGTAGATATAAGCTGGCCCAGGAGAAAACCCTGCAAGCCAGCGTTCTATCTCGTGCACAACAGAAGGCTGCCATTGTGCACTTGCTCACCCTGCTCTTTGCATGCTATACGCATTCGTATCATCCGCTTAGTATATTCAATTGGAATACATCTACTTGACGAAGTCTCTCTACTGCCCGCCTGTCCCCCAGGTTGCCCTGTGACATCTTCTCCAATCGCCTTGTCAATGCAAACAAAACTCTGCAAAGGGTCTTCTAGTCCCCTGCCTCCAAACGCCATAGACATACACGCAGTCTTGTGCTCCTGTCGGTAGTCTCGGTATTATTGCTCTCCACTGGGCGAAATATCGGTGCTTGTCCGACCACTCCTATCACACCATCACTCTTTACAGTCCCCTTCCTATCACTGGATCCACACTTATACCAGCGGCATCACAACAACGCCTTGGGCACCGATTTATTCATTTTGCGCTGCAAGCTACCACCTCCATCGCGCAAGAACCTCTCCATCGGCGTCATGTTAGCGTACTGCTTCTCCTCCATGACGCAGTTCGTAAGGTCGACGCCAGAGATAGTGTAAACCTGCGGATGGAGAACAAGCAGATCAGCCGTGGGTAGATGATTCGGGGATGGCGGATTAGGGATCACACACTTGCTCGTGCTGGACTTGTTGTTGTGACGCTGAAGCACGTTCTGTTCCGGGTGTATTGTAGTCTCTCCGTCCAACCTTTTCTTGGCTATCCCCTGCACTGAGATTCCTCCGTGATGGTTGCGTCGCCATGACGACAGGCAGGGGACGAGTGGGAAGTGTGTCAGGTGGTGGGAGTTGGTGTCAAAGACGACGAGAATCAAAAGCGACTCTCACTGCGGCGGTACTGGAAGATTCTCTGCAACGTGGAGGTAGGGGCCCTCCAGCAGCAGCAACAGGAAACAACAAGAAATTTGTGAGATTGGGGGTTATACCTATGAGGTGTCTACTCGCCATGGCTAATGTACCCTCGAGGGACCTGCGCTGCTCTGCTCGCCGCAACGACGAGGAGGAGGGGATCTCCGTCATCTTCATCATGCATGTTTTCGGTTACTCTCTGGCCGCACACAACCCAACACTGTGGTATTTGTGCTTGGTCTCACCCTGGAGAGCATGCCGAGACCAGCAGACTTGGTGAGTGGCGAGGTCGTTTGCGGCGAGCACGAGTGCGCTCCACTAGCGGGACTAGTTAGATAAGCCAAGGATATTGGGCAGATATTTCTTAAGCTTCTTCGATGTGAATTGGCTTACGCTATGGATTGATGCAGAGTGGCGTATTGTTAGCAGACGAACAGATTGATGCCGCCGAACAGTCTGAGATCGGCAAGATGCGGTCTGATAAGACCTGGCTGGAGAACACCCATAACCCATACATGTGTAGTCAGATTTTATGCTAAAGACTTTCGGCGAAAAACACTCTTCGGCATCACCAAGTACTACTCTATCACAAAGCGGGATGCAGCATCATCCCTGAGAGCTATGACGTGACTTGTTTGTCCAGAAGAGCCGCGTGACTTCGAAACCCCTTCTTGTCAGATTCAACCTCGTGGGAAGCCTTACATACTACGGAGTAGACAGCCCTGCCCACCCTGTACCAGCTGACCGCTAGTTTCTGCTAGTTTGAGACTTGTCCGCACCACCTGACCTAGATGGCAAGACTCATCTCCTACTAACTGAGGAAGAGGTGGCGAATACGACTGAACTGCAGTAGCCCTGGCACTAACTGCCAGTGCTTGCAGATCGACATCACTTGGGAGCACAGGCGCAATTGGTCCAAGGCGCATAGACAGATCTGGTGGCCGTCCAGGCTAAAATTGGAAGCGTCATAATGATTGGGCTGCTCTAGGCCCACTCTTGCGCCTTGGTAGTCCCATTTCTTGTGACAGATATGCAGGCGTATTCTGTCATGGGCCTCAGTCCAATGGTCTCAGACTGCTTACACTCAGTCAAGAAAAGGGAATCGCATCGAACTGAGAGGTAAACAGTCTTTATAAGAGTGTTCAAATGTTCTGAATCTCTGAGAAGTGACAGAGAGCCTTATTTGTACAAGTATCTAATAGCGTTACATGTGAATGCAAATAAGTAACTTGCACTGCTTCCAGACGATGTGATGCTCCCCTGCGCTGAACATAAATAGACTCTCTATCAACGAAAAACAAAGTTTAACAGACTTCTACGGTTGCTGGTTGCCAATTACGGTCGTATACTTGTGAAGTCCAGAACAGCTCGGTACCAGGTATCTGAGGAAGTTGGATCTGCTGTATAAGTCTCCTAGCTTCTAGCAGATAATTCTTCTGAGTCTCGTCAAATGTGTAACTCGATTCGACATCGGTCCACTTGGGCGCCGACAGCGGAAAGTGGCCTTTCTCTTGTTGATGAAAGCTGAGCAAGGAATTGGCACCAAAGGTGATCATCTCAATTAGCGGTCGGTTGGAGAAGCGCTTGTGTAGATTATGATCTTGTGCGAAGTCAACATCATGTTTCATAGTTAAGTCAACATGGTGTAGTAGAATGAAGGTCGCCAGATGAATGTCAAACCAGTCTTCTTTCTTCGTGGGCATGATCCTCTGCTTCATTGCTTTCCGGATGCGGCCCAGCACGACCTCAAGATAGTCGTAAATGACAATATTATCGATCTGAAAGTCCATGATGGGAGTGACGGGAATGCGACGGGAATACGGGCTTGCTGGGCAAGTGTCAAGTCTCATGCCCAAAGACTCCTGACCCTGGATACTCCAAGGTTTCTCGATAAGACGACCTGCAACCCAGAACTTGATCGTCATTTCAAGCAGGGAAGATTTCTGAGCACGATTAACAGCCGTTTGGAACGCCATGCGGGCAAACGCTGCCCTGGGCTCACTGCTAGCGGGCAGGAGTCGATCGACGTACTCGCCCGAATTCGAGTCAATGAATTGCCGAACCTGGTCTGCCGCATGATCTCTATCTGCAATGGCGAAATGGGGACAACGATAAACATGAGTAATACCGTTATCGATCCATTGATAGACTGTTTTGTCGCTTTCAACGGGATCGAATTCTTGGACCCGGAGGTTCAAAGTGCCCTCTGAGTGGCCTTGCGATAGCCGCAATTCGGTGTAACCGTGATCCGTCCCCCGAGACTTCTTTACGGCCATATTTGTAAGTTTTTTCCACTCCGCTTTCTGAGGATCCGATGAAGGTTTTAGATCTTTCAGCCATCTGAGTGTAGTGGCAAAATCTCTTGACGGTCCCAGGCGGATGAGCTTAACATCTTGGAATCTAGCCCTGCGACAAGGTACAGGACTGAGACTCGGAGTTTGAGCCCTTTTCAGACAAGCTTGGCATGGACCATCCTGATCCGGACCCGGCAGACAAACGTGCTTGTTTGTTCTCATCTGGCAAGGTAGGCACGCACCGGTCTTGCGGTTCATCGCAGTGTGTTTGGAGTGTCTCTGACTGTGTGCGGACTTGGGTCGCTTGTTTGGCACGGCTTCATTCAATAGCTTTGATTTCCGCTTCGATTCGGATGGGACCTGCCGAGAAAGACCATTGTAGGTGCTACTCAGGTCGGTGGGAGGTAGCGGGGTACTGGTGCTACTAGGGCTGCTCGCTGTTTGAATATGAGCCCAGGGGGATAGACCATCGAATTTGCTATTGCAATTGAGGATAGGTGTATATGGATATGGTGAAGCTTCCAGTGACACTTGAAGGGGAGGGTGGATTGAGTTTGGACCAGAATCTGCCGGGCTAGGAGACAAGTCAAATCCAACTTGGCCCAAAGCAGGTACATCATAATCTCCAAAAGGGTCGTCGTAATTGGCAGCGGCCATTTCTGAGGTGAATGCCTGACTGGGATGAACTCAATCGTACTTTTAGGAGAGGTGGAAGGACCACCACCTCTTACCGGTTAAAAGCGGCTATCACAGTTAATGGTTACCGCAGTAAATGATAGTATAGAATGTTATAAGACCAGGACCCGAAAGGGGTGAAGTAGGATGCGAATTGAATTGATAGCCAAGGTGTGAGGAATGATGACAATGGGTTGGCCTTGCGCCACTAATATCAAGTCTGCAAGGCGGGCAAGCACCGCATAGTATGAAGAGACCTTTCAGAAGCCTAGAAGTACTCGTACTCGTACTTATATGCAGCAAAGCAGCAGGAGATGAAAAGTTTGTTGCTTGGGTTGCAATGTCGCTGATCATCTCTTGGCATTCTATCCTCACTACAAGTGACTAGTATGGCATGAAGTCCAGACGTGGCATTGTAACTTTACAAGATGTTTCTAGCACCGTGCTAGAGGTATTTAACGCTCGTATCGTAGTACTACTACGTACTTCACAGCCAGATACTGCGGTAGAGGCGAGATCGGCGTGTCCTAATCAAGATTAGCCAATCTCTTTGCCGGTCACCAAGTGACAGATAACGACAACGCCGACAGGGATATTTGTGCTGAGATCCTTCGGGAGTGGCGAATATTAGCGCCATGGTAGGGATCTTTCTGTGATAAAGTTCAGCTCTGGGTTTGGCATTACACGTGCTAATGCTTGGCTGTAGCCACCGCTACTTATTACGTACTGATACGTGATCATACTAGCTGGATAACTGTTGTAGGCACTCGTACTAGAAAACCAAGCATCTTTTCTAGTTCTGATTCTGCAGTCGTTGGTTTGTAACGTTCTAGATAGCCGTTGGACATTTAAAGATGTAGTTGTACTATGTCAAATGAATAGTGTGATTGTTGATAGCAGAGCTTCAAGAAAGCGTGGTGGTGGCAACATATCTGATACTAGCAACTCTTAGCCACCACAAGCAGGGCTATGCCATGTAGGACTAAGGCATGGTGGATGCTACTCTCACAGCCTACATCTGTAAGGCTGTGGCAGCAGCATTCGCCACAGCCTAATACTACGTGACAGGGATCGTATCTACTACGTGCTACGTATGATGTCTTATGACCAGGAGGAGGATTTAGTTGTAATGGATTAATATCGGACCTCAAGATTAGAACCAAAACCAGACTAGACTAGACTTCTCAGCACGGGTGCTAGGGATACTATGCCCTACTTGGGGCCGCCAAGAAATGAGTTCCAGTGTCCGATCGAAGATTATTGTAAAAATAGGGATTGACCAATAGATCCCTGGAAAACGTGATTAGAACATGGGTTGCAGACGGAGGAGCCTGATAATCGAATCACATCAACGAAATTTGTACATCATTACCAGAGACGGTTGACGTTGCGCTAGAGCTCACTGTTCGGTGGCACCGCGCATCAGCCGTTAAATCAGCCGCGCCGATCTTGGCCTTTGCTCCCTGCAGATCTCGCCTCCATCGGCCTGAATCAGAACTCGTCCTGCAGGCTCACGTGCGCTGTAATCTAGACTCGTCATGGCTACCCACTGCAGTTGTTGCAATCCTACAAGTATTTCTGAGGACAAGATGCAGGCACCCAGAGCCTCAGCCAAGGTGTGTCTGCAGTGCTGCACAGCAAGCAAGATGCCAAGGAGTTACGTCTAACTTAATTGAAATTTAGACTCATGTGACAATTTAGATTGGCATGCTGCGGAACTATGTAGAACGCCCGACCAAAATCATACTAGCGTATTTGCGGCGAGCTGCGCGCCGCCATCAACGGTAACGGTCGTCGTTATCCCTTTTTCCCCACTGCAGCCTGCAAAGCGAAAGAGCATAATCACCCTACATACATAGACCCATTACTCATGATTTTCCTATGCCAATTCCAAACAACCGTCAAACAAAAAAGAAGGCCATCCGATTGCATCCGCATTGCAACCTCAACTATGACCCGAAGAACGTTGCTGCGTGGTGATATAAGTTCTGTCAGTAATGGGCTCCAGGGGCCAAAGCTGCTCTCGGCCGTCATGTTCGAATGCATCCCTCCAGGGTTCCCGAATTTGCTGAGGAATTGTCCAGCCGAGATCATCGTCATGCAGCCAAATCCGTACAAGATGTCGCCGACGGGTATGTGAGTCAGTGAAACCATTTCGAGCATGAAGTAACCCCAGATTGTTCCAAAACAGCATGTCTCCTGGTCCAAGGTCGATAACAAGCGCATACTCCTCGGCCAGTAGCTGGATCATATTGAGCGCTTCGACCTGCATGTCGCTCAGATCTGGAACGCCCTTGCTACGAGGTGATGTCGCCGAGCCAAGTAGCGGGCGTCTGGAGAAGGAGAACACTACCTTGCCATCCTCCACATGGATCAGTGGTCTCGTCCGATACGGCGGATTTTGGCCAAACCTGCCATCATGTCAGCCCCGTCTCTTCAGAGCGAGAGAATAACATACGTGTCAAAGATCCAATCACTCTTGACCAATGCACGAACTAGATCTGGCCGGACCCTTCGAAGCTGATTGTAGATAAACCAGGAAGAGGCAATTTTGCTTTCGCCTCCATAGGTGGCTTTTTCGAGAGCGTACAGGCCAAGGATGCTGCCCGTGTCGGTGTGGAACGGCTGGATTAGCGGACAAGCGTATTAGATTCGAGCTTCGAAGGGCTTGAGGGCATACTCACCTGGCCTACTGAAGAGTACGGCGCCTGGCGCTCATTATCAGGCGCGGCCGTTGATCCTAGATCGGTAAGGTGCACTGCTGGCGTCAAAATCTCTGCAATTCGCTGTACCGCTTAGCATACTGACATAGCATATTCCCATACTCATCTTGCCGACCACACCGATTCCCAATATACGACGCAATGCCCACATAAATTACAATATTTCTGGATTTCGAGTATCGGCTTGGGTCCAAACCACGAAGGGCGAAGAAGCCACGCCCGTGGGCAACGTCTCGTGCCAAACGACGTAAAACAGGGCCGAAGGTTGCAAGGCAGAAGTTCTCAGGACACAGTTGTCCAAGAGGCAGTCCTTGCGCTATATTCACCCTTTAGTCTGCTTCACGCAGCATCCGGTACAGAAGTCTCCTGGATTACCTTCAACCTCCATGGCTGCATCTTCCACTTCTTGTATATGCCGCTTAGTCAACTCGTATCGGTACAGACCTGGTTGCCTTTGGAAGTCGGCACCTTCCCACACCATCTCTGCATTGATTGACCGAGGAAAGCCGACAGGAGCAGCAGCGCGCTCGATTTTGGTTGGGCTATTAGCAGGCTTCCAGTCAAAGTTGTGCTCGACAGCCATATGAGGCAGCCAAGCTCTGTCAAGCATCGCCATTCTTTGAGGTTATAAATTGGTCTGCTTCTCGCGCCTTGATATTGCAGTTGCAATTTTCGTCCCTGGTGCTCTGAGGCTCAACAACGCCTTGTTCTCGATCATGTCGATCCCGCACGTGATCTTCAGGGTCTCTTCCTTGTCGCCCAAAGTGGGGCAGATGGCCTGACGAATCCAGCTTCGGGTGCAGATAAACTGGCTGATAGCTGACTTTCTGCATTTAAGCAATCCCCTCGCACTGGTGCGTTCCCGCTTCATGATTCTCGAGGCTGGCGCAGTCACAATTTATGGTCCAAGTTACTATTACAGATGTCAATCGTGCAACCTGGGAGGAACAGAATTACGCCTTCAGAGCTCTTAGAAATTCCAAGTACAATATCTGAGCCTGGTTGGCCAGGTCCACATATATCTCATGACAAGCTCCAATGATAGCTACTAATGTTGAACCCTTGACCTTCGCGTGTAGAACCTTTCCCTAGCTGGGCCATTCTGCTCTTCGTCGGAGCCAGAATCTACGTAGTACGTAGTACATCGAGATCTTCAGATCACTAACATCCTTACTAGCGTCAACCAAAATGAAGTAATGTAGGCGATAACTTTGGCCCTCCGGGCCTCAAACGGGAAGCTTAAGATATATCATGCCCGGAACAGTTTTGCCCTGCCACAGCTCAAGGCTGCTTATTCATTGCTCGCATTACAGTTACGTGTGCTCAGGTCTCAGGTTTCGAGGTGAGAATGAAATTGGAGAGGTCAAGATCCACGTGTGACTCTCTGAGTAGACGTGGCAAGGGAGGAACCCACGGCGCTGGCTGATGGGCTTGACCAAGGCGCTACGGCCAGAGCTAAGTATTTAATCAATGGAGAATGAAATTGGGAGTGTAGGGTGACAGGGGGTTGGCAGGGCGAAGGTAGGCTCAACATACTAAGTTACTACCTCCACCGACTCTACACCTTACGACCATATGTATCATCATTTGGCGCCCGTTCATGAGAAATAAACAGGAAAGGAGAATAATAACATCAGAGACGCTTTTCATGAGAGATGTCGATTGATTCATGATAAAGTCCTGGGTTGCCGCCGACCTAGAAATGAAAGAAGTTGAAATGCAGGCCACAGAGTAGATTTGGTCGTCAACGGCGTGTTTCTGAGGTGGCGCGTTTCTAAGGGCGGGCCTAACCGGCGCATGAGATATAACAGAGAAGCCCCCGGTCCCCACGTCTTTTTAACTTTATAGAGACAACGTTTCAGCCCCCTCGGTCTTCTTGACGCATGGGTCCGATCTTCAGTGAACTCGCGCAAGGCTGGAGGTAAACATGGGACACGACAACCGGGTAAGTATGTTCTCGAGCCCGTCCTAGATAAGCATAACCATTGATATCAAATGGGCCATCAGGATGTACTCGATCTAGCAGAAGAACACCATGGCCAAGGAGTCCTCAAGACAGCCCATAACTGTGTACATTGTCCTTCCGCAATATTCTATTACGGCCCCAGCGTGAACGGACCGACGCCAGCCGAACGGCAGGAGCTATTCCACCGACCTTGCTCGCAGTGTAATATTTCAGATTTCCGAAATGAATCCATGTGCCCGACCTGCCAGCATTTACGCCTCCAGCATCTGGTAGCATGTGTGCCGGCTGAGACTCGGAGCAGATACTTGTTCCCGTTGAGGAAGGGCCTGATTGAGGAAATCGAGATGACCAAGTGCTCGTTTTGCCGCATCGTCAGACATATGGTTCTGAGCGCTTTTGACAGAGTTCGGATCTCGCATATCATGAAGATGAATTACACCCTCAGTCTTTATCTTGGCGCGCCCGGAGAGCAGGCATCCAGCAATGTTGCGGCAGATATCTACTTCCAGTATCCGGACGGGAGTGGGATGTTGAACGTGTGGGTTGGGGATCTTCATATAGGGGATGCGGACAATTGCAAGTGTGTCACCGGATCTGATGGCCCCCCTTTTCTAACAGGACGAAGCCGGCAATTTGCCCAGTGTCGGAGCATTGGTCTCCTGGGCGCGCTTGGAAACAAAGATAAGCGAATGTCATGAAGAGCATGATCGATGTCGGCAAAAAGTCCAGCGGGTTTTACCACAAGGGTTCCGAGTGATCGACATTACTCGACGGCGCATTGTGGAAACAACGGACGTGGCCTTTATTGCTTTAAGCTATGTCTGGGGGGTGGACACCCGCTCACCCCTACTTACAGCTACACGTGCTACGATCTCTGGAATGAAAGAGGACGGTGGACTTCCAACATTAGAAATGCCTCGAACGATTGAAGATGCTATGACCATAAGTACGCGATTAGGGGAAAGGTATTTGTGGGTGGACCGTCTCTGTATCATCCAAGATGATCCCAAAGACAAAATGAATCAAATTGAGGCGATGAGTGATGTCTACACTTCAGCACGATTGGTACTGATCGCGGCGTACGGCAACAACATGGATTTTGGAATCCACGGCATCAGCTGTCCGCGGCCTGTAGTCCAACACCACGAAGACATCTCCGGTCTCTGAGTCACCAATATCATCCGAGAACCTGAGGATGACCCCCTCGCTCTATGGCATACCCGCGGATGGACCTACCAGGAAGCTGTACTGGCAAGACGACGGCTTTTCTTCACGAATGTACGAGCATATTTTGAGTGTGTACAATCGACCTGCCACGAGGACGCATATAATAGCGAGACTGATCCCAATGAGTTCACTTCATATGAACTTCTGATGAAGGAAGACCGCTCACGTTTTGAGGCCTTTGCACGTCATCTCCGGAACTATACTTCCCGAAGCCTTTCATACCAGTGGGACGTGTACAATGCCATCACTGGAATCACGAAAGCATTATATGAGGGGAAGAGTACGTTCATCAACGGGCTGCCTCAAGTAGATTTCGACCGAGCTCTGCGGTGGTTTGCTGACCTCGGTAACACTAGCCTTTGTCGCTTGGAAACCGAAGAAATATCATGTCCCACCTGGTCGTGGTCCGCAATCATGAACCGCGCAGATCAAGTACGGTATCAGGAGACGGCACTATATGGGACGCTTGCCCTCTGGTACAAAAAGGATACTTCTTCGTTTGCAGGGGGTCAGCTGCAAGCCGTCAATCTACACAGTGAGACCGAGATGGATGATAATTGGTCTCTCTATATGGCAATTGCATGCGAACAAGGGCTCGTGGGAAGTATACCGACCTGTTGGTCCCCGACAACCGACAGCTTTTCAACCATATGTGAGAGATTCAATATGCGCTGGCCAGATTATCCGACATTCTGCAAGGAAGCTATTCCGTCAGCAAAATGGCCTCAATGGTGCCAGAAAACGAATTCTCTTCTCCCGGCCCTGAGACAGGGAGTTCTCCTCACCGCAACTCAATCTGGCCTCCTTCGACTACGGGAAAGAAGCCCGAAGACCGGTTTGAGTATAATCGACGCCGCAGGCGACATCGTCGGCGAGCTCTGCGGGGACGTGAGTCAGCTTACAAAAGAGCTAACAGCTCCGCATCACGATCAGAACGCCTCGTATGAATTCATCGCGCTCTCTTTATCGGGCCAGCGTCTTCGACCTTATATTGGTCAGGAGAGAGAGACGAAGAATTATTTCGATGTGGGCAGTAACCCGCTGGATACGTTGCCTATCGTTAACCTGTTGATGGTTGGATGGAGAGGGAAATATGCATATCGCAGAGAGCTCGGGTGGGTATACATGAAGGATTGGATTGAGGTGGATCGGGAGTGGAAGGTGGTTATGCATGAGTGACGCCTTTTGATATTAGCGGGTAGGGTTAAGTTTGGTACTAATAAGATATCGAAGGGAACAAGCGTGGAGAGAGAGGAAGAACAAGAGCAGAGTGTGCTCCAAATTTTATGTACAATGTGTGAACGCTAAGCTGCTGTGTAGTTAAGTCAATTACGGTATAGTGCATGACAGGCAAACACTGCTCACACTACTAGTTAGTAGTACTTAACTGTAACTTTGAGCGCCCAGGCCGCATCTCAAGATCGACTCAACCCTATTCTTTCGCACAACGCTTCAAGTATCAATAAAAGATCGTCACACATATCTCATATCGACAATTGCCAAGTGGAAACTTCCTCTGGAGCTTCACGGCACACGCATCTGCAGTTGGAGAAAACAAATCTTTGTTTGCATCGAGTCATCTTCGACTATTAGTACTAACTTAGTTACATTGGGCTCTGTGAGCTATGCACACTTTGCGCCGCACAGGTACGGGTAGTGGCCATATCGCTACTTCGGCTCAGCTTTCTCACTCTCGTTGTGCCATGGACAAGCTAGACGATCATTGCTCAACGACACAGACACCAAAGGTACACGATTCTGGTAGAGTAAGCCGATCATTGCTTGGTCGCTTACCAGCCCGATGCTGCCGGCGCTGAGGGGATACCAGCATCGCCAGCATCGCCAGCATCGGCCCAATCACCCTCAACTGCAACAGTCGCAATCTCCTCGGCTGCTGGTGGGTCGTTGGCGAAATCTCCTCCATGACCTCCATCATCTCCAACGTTACGACGTCCACCACGGCCACGGCCACGCCCGCCACGTCCACCTCGACCTCCACCACCACGACGCTCGCCACCTCCTCCATAGGATGAAGTAGGCTCAGGTCCTTCATAGGCGCGAGGATCATACAGCATTTGAGTGACGTCAACATATCCTGGTCGTCCTTTCTTGCCTTTGCGAACACGAGTGGCAGTAACTGTGACATTGACCACTTCCTCACGAGGAGGGTCAACGTTCGCTTCAGCGCCAGCACCCGGATCGTATAGGCCAGCCTGCCCATCATAGCCACCGCCATAGCCAGTGTTGTATTCTTCGCCGTAGCCACCTCCAGCATGCTGCATAGAGTAGGAGTCACCACCATCTTCACGACAGTCGCGGGAAATATGACCTTGTTGACCACACTTGTTGCAAGTACGAGGGTCGGAACCATACTCACGCTCGACAGGTTCATTGATGCATTCGCTCGACTTGTGACCATACTGTTGACAGTTGTAGCATTTCATGCCACCTCCAGCACCTCCAGCCGTGGCACCGAAGGCGGAAGAGGTACACTCTCGTGAGAAATGCCCAACCTCGCCACATTTGTGACATGCACGATCCCCTCCACCAGCACCGCCTGCGGGGCAGTCGCGAGCAATATGGCCGACTTCATTGCACTTACGGCAAGTACGATCATCTCCACGAGGTTTCTTTGGCTCAGTGCAGTCGCGGGAGATGTGGCCTGGTTGCCCACAGTTGAAGCAGTTGTCATTACGTGGCTCAGGGCAATCTCGAGCGAAGTGGCCGCTTTGCTTGCAACGACGGCAGGTATTGTCATCTTCAGTTGCTGCATATCCTCCACCGCCAGTGTCATCACCCCAGCCGTTGTTGTTGGTTGACTCGCCTCCTGTGGTGGCCCAGGCATCCTCACCAAAGCCTCCTGCCGGTGCAGACGTGTCTTGCCAGCCGGGTGCACAGGCGGTCCATTGGTCACCAGCGACACCACCCACAGGGCTCCACTCATCAGCAGGTCCATCAAAAGAAACGATCGGAGCTGGGAGATATGAGCGCTCTGAAGGCTTCAAGGCCTGGTTACCGCAGCTTGATGCAAAGGTAGGTGTCGTAGTGGTTGCTGGACCCCAACTCATGCTGTTTGCTTCGGTTCCCTGTGTCTCATCTCTACCTTTCGCTTCGTTAGTGATCGTGACCGCATGTGGTTCGGTGCCTGAAATATTGAAAGGGGTATTCTTTTCCGCCATGTACCGCTGAAGATCTTTCTTGAATTCCTCGTTCTCGTCAGAATATTCGTAGTATGCGTTCCGATTCTTCAGCCGCTTCTCCAAGTACGCATTGCCAACGCTCTCAACAACCATAGAGCGAGCTGGATGATCTGTTGTTGCGTGAGCATACAAGGCTTTGACATCATCAAGCGGAACTTGATCGTCAGCAATCTTGGCCAAGCGCTGGTAGAACTGGTCTTTCAGCGCCACAGGAACTGCAAGAAGCTCGGCGACGCCCATGCAATGAATTAGATCGGTGAAAGAGAGCTTGTCAGAAATCTGCTCAGTTTCACCTGACTTGTAAGTATCAAGTATCCAGCGAAGAATGATCTTGAAAGTCTCGTCGGCGAGTGCGTCACCGCCCATGATTGTGATGCTGATGGGACCACCAGGAACATGTGCAACTTGTGCTGGAGCGAATGAGGCCTCTCTGTTGTGTTGATCAGGTCCAATGTTGGGGATGAGAGACTCTTGTGAGGCTTCGGTGACTACTGGGAAAGCATCACGAAAATAGCCAGAGAGTTGAGTCAAGGCCTCGAGTGGAACAGCCGAGTCGACAAGAACACGACGATCTTTCAGCGATGATTTGGATGCAAGGTAGACTTTGACGTGTGGTGCTTCGGAAGGACTGAAGTGAAAGAAAGAAAGAAGGTCAGTGTCCGGATAGGTGAATCACGTAAGCAAGAAACGGAGAAAGCCTACCATTCAAGTTTCATCTTGGTCGTGCCAATGTTACCCTCAGCTGACACTGCCATGAGGTTGAAGAGCTGATTCTTGTGCTTATTCTAACTTGAGGACAAGAAGTAGCAACAAAGCTTCTGAATGGTGGAGCTGAAGCAGTGCGAATGGATGTGTCGTTACGTGTTGAGTGCTAGACGTGTGTGATCTAGTAGAGCAACCAAGGAGTGATAATCAAATACGGACAGGCCACAACAATCACAAAGGCGGACAGAACAGAGCTAGGTGTACAAAATCTCGGAATATACTGCACAGGAACACAGGAACACCGGTGAAAGGCAACAGAAAACACTTTTGGCTTCCCCGGCTGTCTAGGACATCCCGGGGCAAAGCAAACACAAGTTGCACCAAAACACTTATCTTCACTCTACAGCAGCACCCCAACTCAACTAAAGGCCCGGTTGTGCTCCAGCAGGCGGCTGTATTTGGTCCTGTCATGTCGATCATGGCGGCATCCTGCCATCCGGCCATCCGGTGCTGCCATTTGGGCTCAAGACTCCCTTTCTTCTGCTACTTCATGCTTCGAGGGACCACACCCTCGCCCTTCACATTGTCAACAGCCCTTATGCCGCGGTTGCTATACAGAGAATACTGAAGACTTGACATATCTTCCCTCAACAAACAGAACAGCTCATTCGAACAGTTCAATGACATCGCTGTATCGGCCCCTGAAAGCGGAGTTTTTCGTGCTCTGATATCCATACCTCACCACCGTGTCCCATCGCATGTGCTGGGTGTTCATCTTTTGTTGCCGAAGCAAAGTCACCGTCCATACAAGCTGCCGCCCAATGAGAGCAACTGTTTGGTGGTCTGTACGCTCTTTCGGTCCTGTGCAGATGGGATTTCAAGTATATTATCTCGGCCCCTGGCCCAAATTCTGTCTGATAAATCAGCCCACCGTTTTCTTTAGATGGTGCAAGCGAGAAGAATCTTCAGACCATATAGTTGAATATCAATGTCTCTTATGTTTCAGATATTATAGCTGATACCAGTAAGCGATCGATATATCCCTAATCGATGTATGTGGTCTATGACGCACAACTGAACCATACATCCCCAAACTACATATACAGCCAAAGCACCGCCCATCCCATCTTTCATTTAATATGTCTAAGGGCATGATAGAAGTCAAACCAGGAAACCAGAAACCAGACACATCACAGGCTGGTCTTGTGAAGACTGGTCACCACTCCACACTCTTCCTGAGACCCCTCCCTCCACCAGTACCAGCAGGCGCAACCCTGAACCTCTCACCGCTACCCCTTCCGCAACCGCGGTCAATGCTAGCTTTTGCCTTGCCCCGGTCCTGACCTGGCATTTTCGTTGATGTTGAAGGCCCATTCAGATCCAGCCTTCCCGGGCCGGTTCTAGATCTTGACCGCGTGTTAGCCAGTGGCATTGCTCTCCCAGCCTTTGACGAAGGGTGAGCCATCCCTGAATTTCCTTGATCATTGTGGGTAGCGCTTGTCACCATCGGTTGAAGAGCAACGTTCCTCCATCCACGGTACCCACCAGGAGGACCATTCAGTCTCTCCTTCTCTGCGGCTTCACGAGTTGACAGACTCAAACTCGGCTTGCGCTGTAGCTGTTGTGTAGACTGTTTCTTCTGACTCATTTGTCTCTGCAGTTTAAGCTCTCTCTCTTGAAGAATGAGCTTCCTCTCGCTCTCACTAAGCATGACTTTTCTGGGTGGCGAATCTGGAGCGATTTCGAACTCAGACTCGGAGAAGCCAAGACCCGAGGTTGAAAGTTGGAGTCTGGGCAATTTGGGGCCTGGAAGAGAGGACAAAGACGGCTTATGGCGTGAATGTTGAGGACGATCTGCATCCTGTAGGTGGCAATGGTAACAGCTGTTGTGGTGCGTGTGATGGTGATGAGAAGATGGTGCCATACTGACTCTACTCGGAGGATCATTCTCTCCCGGAAACGCAGCGGATGTGATAGATTCGTGTCTGTGGCCGTGGCTGGAAGCTCTAGCAAACCGACGAGGCGAGGCATCAAGATCGTGGGTCAAGGCTGCCAAATCATCCATGTTAAGCCCGCCAGACGCCCTTCTCATTCTCTCGAGAGACTGTCGGCGAGGAGCCGTGAAGGCTTGGCCCTGGTGAAACGGTGGATACAGAGCTTCGTAGGGGACGGACACTGTACGAGCACGTTTAGCTTCAATAGAAGCGGCAACTTGAGCGAGAGAGTTTGGAACAATATCCAAAGAGTTGATGTGGATAAGTGTGACTGGTAATTGGACAGCGATCGTCTTGAATGTTGCCACGGTGAGAATGATATTGAGAAAATATCGAACCTCGAAATATCGACCTGTGCAGATGGTAACATGCCCTCGTGGGATTTCCAAATCGCATGTCCGGACTTCGCTACTGTGAGAGGGAATACCCTTCCAATCTTTGGATTTCTTGAAAACCGATATGCAGACAACCTCACTGTCGCTCCTTTTCGGAAGTCGTAGATGTGTGGCCCTCTTCTCGATCGTGCCTGCAGCCGCATGAGAGTACCATAACGTGCTTTTCTCCAATTGCACCTCAATCTTCTTAAGCGTCTTTGGGCTGTTGTTCATGACGTGGACGTCGACAAAAATCATGGCGCCATTGACCCATGTCTGCCGATGCAGCCCTGCCGTTAGCTTGATAGTTTGTGTGACCGTGCCATGCGGGATGGAAAGTTGCTCTGTGGCGAGTAAGGGGCTTGGAAGAGTACTGAGTGCCTTTTCCGGATCGTACACAGTCAGCATTTGAATCTCAAAACTCTGTCTGATCAAAGCACGTTTCCCAGCTGATCTGACGTGAGCGGTTCCACAAAGGATATACCGAATGCGAGCTTGCTTTGACACATATGGTGGGGGACCAATATTGAGCGGTAGATTCAAACAAAATGGAATTACCACCGACGAAGGCTTAAGAGGCCATGAAAGTTCTGGCCCAGAGGCAGGAGTTTGGGCGGATACCAGAGGAGCTGGTGGTGGGTGGTCTATGTCGAAGAGCTCTGTGGCAAGTGAGAGGAAGACCCATCTTCTGCCGTCCGTCACCTCCTCAACACCAATGACGTCGATAGAAAGCCTGGAGATGAACAATGGTTTTGCCTTGATCTTATGGGTACTTCCCCCATCGACAGTAAGCAAGAGGTGTCCCTCAATAGTTCCGCCTCCAACAAACAAAGGGGCTGGTGTTTGAAGGCTGATGTCGACGCGTCCATGACGAGTGTTTCCGAGATCGAGAATGTCTAGGGGAGGCGTCGTTCTAATGAAAGTCTTGGAAGGACTTCGCACGGTATTGGAGGCCGTAGGATCATGCTTCATCACATTGCGCACCGGTGAGCTGACCCGCCCCCGAGAAGGAATGGTCTGCCCCGCTGCAGAAGGTGGTGGCAATTTCCAGGAGGGAAGGTCATTCACGCTGGAATGCCTGGACATGGCATTGCATTTGCCGAGAAAGCTGGCTGAAGATCTTCGCTCAGGCACGTCCTTCATGAGTAGGCTCAGCGCGCTTGGAGCTCGACTACCCATTTCGCGTGATGGTGTTAGAGGCCTGGACGGAGGCGTGTCCTCTAAATTGTTTTCGACATCGCCATACTCTTGTGAGGTTAGCTGCGACATGGACTCGGACACTTTCCGGTCTTTGAATACATCCAGCATGGGTGATAGCTTCTTGAGGACGGTACCCTCCTTAGACGAGCCTGAAACTTCGCGGATGTCGGAAAGTTCATGGATTCGATGTCGAGAGGACGCACTCGGGGGTTTTTGGAAGACATTGAGATTCTTTGTTGTCAAAGGAGATCCTCGAGATCTGACATGCTCTGTGCTTGCACGATGAGAGAAGGAAGACTTCATAGAATGCTCTGATGGTTCTATCAGCCTCGATCATTCGACACCAATCTCGCGAAGACGTACCAGTCGTGCTCATTGTTATCGCTTGGACGATTGTTGCTGTACTGAAGCAAAGAGTGAGAGACAACGGCGAACCTCACGCTCAGTAAATGACCATATTCAATGAAAGACGTAGGAAAGTACAGCAACATCACGAAGTAAGACGGTGAGCTACAGGTGAACGATACGGGAACAAGGCGCATCCTGAAGAAAGAACCACTGCCAACGTTCCTACCAACACTATTTCAACCACCACCTACCTACAGCTTATAGAGAAGGGGAAAATGAGATAGCAACTGCTGTTCTCATATATCGTTCTCTGCTATACGATTCCTATCTTCATCAATGTTGTCCCCAGATTCAATGGGTCTGCTTATAAGCATATCCAGGGATTCATTGATGTCCATCTGGCCACGACTGCGGCATTGTTCTCACAAGCGGGTAAGTCCTCTGTCAGGCTCTGGGATTTTCCTAACACATGATGAGTGCATCAATTAGTTCCTACCACGGGAGTCAAAACCTGTATACGCCATTCTGTTCGAGCAAAAACCATTTTCGTGGATCGTTTTTCAAGGACGACCTCGTTTCCTCCCGCGAACCAGAAAACTGCCGGAATAGCAGCGATAGTTGCATATCGTATCTGCTCTCTTACGCATTGACGTCTGGGATAAGGTTGAAAACACATCCTGTCGATGAGGTGGCTCCCTCAGGGAGAGGGTCGCTCGTCGGGTGGCATCAGATCGATCGACAAGAGCCGCGTGGGAGGTCTCACTATTTGATACGACCATGGCCGCGGCTGGTCAGGGATCTTTGCAAGACACAACTGGTACATGGCCCGCATCATTTTTGTGGCTGGAGCTGTACGAAGAGGAGGTCTCGACGGTCCGGCATTTCAAGTTCTAGAGCTCCGTGGAGAAATCCGTAGCATGGTGACTTTCTGTTCGACTAAGTTTTGAAAAGGCTTCCACCTGATGCATCGGAATGCGCCTAGCTTTCTGGCCTTGCAGGATAAGTGCGCAGTCCATTCCTGTTGTAGCAATCTAATGCCGTTGATGGCGCTCCGCTTCCTCCCTTGATTGGATCCCGCAGTTTGCAAATTTTCAGTAGTAAACTTAGTGGATCTCCTCGTTACCACCTCGTGGCCCGCGTGCGGCGTGCTCACCCTTGCTTCGAACCCTCTCCAATATCACCTCATTATTGCTACGAGTTAATCCTTCCCGTCACTGTGATGCCAGATCCGTGCATTGCGCCCTGTTCTCGAAAAGCCGCACCGTCAGGCTGGGTCGTCAGATGGTTCATCCACGTTTATCCATCTCTACCCAGCCATGCCTGCACCCCCTCACATCCTTGGCTCAGGCACTGGCTCCAAATCTACTGCTGCTCCACCAAGGGCCTGTCTGGTACCATTGGCCTCCGAGGAGATGATCCTCTTTTACGGTCACTCGGCGGTCAGCGTAGTAGACGAGGGGTCAAAATGGCCCTCATAAGCTCTGGCTATTCCTGTCTGAATTTGCCTCCCCATGTTTATGCTACCCTCACGGTAGCAGAGTTTTTAAGCTTAGCCCTTTTGATGTCATTCCATTACCTCATGTCTTATCTCTTCTCCCTGTAAGACGTTCCCATTTTTGCTCCTTATCTCTGATGTTGACTGCACACACACCCAAATCCCGTATGTTAATCAATTTTAGACCCATCTCTAATACTGAGCCGCGCGTTTAATGCGTTTGGAAGGAACCTAATCGACGCTTGGCTTGCGCTGTTTTGTCAGGGGTACAGCCCTAGGGGCGGTGGTGTCGTTGTTGTTGTATTGAAGGAGATGGGCTCGATGATGGAGACTTCCGATGCGACACCAAGCTACCCAATAGTGCCTAAGTCCGAGTCGATACATGACGGGTATAGCAGCTCATCTGTATCTACCCCAGAAGGAGACATCGGACCGGTTACCCAAGATGTGGTTCAGGTTCAGAAGAGGAAAGGTGGACGAAAGCCAGTACATACGATCAAGTAATCTGGCATCGCAATAGAAGGCTGACACTCCCCGATAGATTTATGCTACGTCTGAGGAGCGAAAACAAAGGAACCGGCAAGCACAGGCTGCCTTCCGAGAAAGGCGAACAGAATATATCAAGCAGCTCGAAAACACCATCAAGCACCATGAGGATACTCTACAGAATCTACAGCAGAGTCATCGCAGTGCCGCTGATGAGTGTTTGATGCTTCGATATAAGAACTCTCTGCTTGAACGCGTTCTGCTCGAAAAAGGTCGGCTGATTATGCCGTCTGTCCCAACTGGAGGCTCTTTACTGATTCGAGACGCTAGGAATTGATGTTCAGGCTGAATTGCGGATGAAGAGTAGCCCTCATCTTGGTCCAATGAAGGCGCCACCGACCATGACCAGTCAGGCCTCGCCAGTGCAGAGGGCCATGATGAGCAGGCAGCAAGCAGCACGGTCCAACTGTACAACTGTTGTACCTCCGTTGCAGCCTGTCAACACCACGATGCAGAACGGACACGAGAGCATTTACTCACGGCCTTCCCCATATCCGCGCCAACCTTCTCAGACTCCATCGCCCTCCACTTCCAGACCATCTGGGTTTTCCGTGCAAGGTGTATTATCTTCACCGACATCTAATTTTCCAAACCAGCCGACACATCAACAACAGCGGTCACAGCTGCGAGCGGAGCGTAACTCATTCAGTCACCACTCTGCAGTCTCTCGGCCTACGGCAGGCACATCCTCATCGCACCCTATATCAATACCCGGTGAGTCTTTGAGCTATTTATGATATTAATGGTTATGTTTGCCGAAGGGACATCCCTTCCTACCAGAGTTCCCGAACCCCAGCTGACGAGCTTCTGTTTTTCCCTGTTGTTTCGCATTAGCTGATACCTCTTCTCTCCTTGGCTGACTTGTAAGCACAGATCAAGAGTTTGATGCCCAAGGAGAAATGATTGATGATGCGCCAGGAGATGATACGGGAATAGATCAATTCATCCCCAACTTCCGCCTCCCTGATGTATCGATGAGCATGCAAGGTCAGCCGGCACCTCCACTGCCTAGCATGACCGATGCTGGTGGAGGCCCATTTGCATCTGGAAACCATGCTTTCGATCCCTACGATCCTATGCTGGATGCAGATCCTTTTGGGCTGAGCGCGAGCATGCATTTCCCCACACCGTACACCTATGATGCACAACAAGTTCGCAGATGAACCTCAAGCCGGAAAGCCGGCGACCTCTTTACCTTCTCTGGTGGTACCTTGTGACTTTGCAGCGGAGCAATTGTCGTGTTTTTTGAATTTCAAGCTTGCATTGTTAAGGACGAAAAGCATTTTATGAGGCGCGCGCATTGAGAACACTATGGGAACAGGTGGCACTATTGAGCGTCATGGTTGATGAAGGCACGCCTTGTACCCTTCTAGCGAGCAGCGGGCAGCGCATGTACAATACCTTTTAGTATGAAACTGACTGTCTTCTACCGTTAATTACACAAATTAAAACCAGAGGCAGGTGATGAGCTGTAGCACCGTGATCCTGAGCCGCCCTTTCGATTTCTGCCCATCACTTGGTTGCATTTGCGTCCCGAATCACCAGCCCTAAGCCCTACAACCACTTTGAGAGATGCCTAGCGTTCCGCTTTTTGCTACTGCGGACAGCATTTTCCACGACATGACCCTCATACCTCGGGTGTGCAACGTACAATTCACCTCACCGTTGGTCATTCCCATATCGAGTCGACAAGGGCCTGTTGTGAGACGGTCCTGTCACACTCGAGCAATCGCAGATACGCCCAGCGCATTGGAGCAATAGTCGGGCAGCCTTCCGTGAAGGCAGGTTGGTAGGCGTGATGTCAGACGTGAAGAGCAAGGTGAGCCCAATATCAAAACAGCTCCGGTGTCAGGGAGAGGGCTTTCGCAGCCGTGCGAGCAGAATCTCCCTGTGTCCTATCAACTGGCAGCTTCTCCGTATCGAGCTGCAGTGCTAACTCTTTAATCCCACAGAACCTGTACGAGCTACTTGGTAATCCCACCAATTGAGCCTGTTTCTTAGAGTCGCCTTCTGATTTCGTCGTAGGGAACACAAGCGACCAAGACTCTGATCGAGAGCCATCGCCACCTCCAAAAACAGCTGAGAAGCCAAACCCCCGGTCCGGGAAGCGTGATGCTCCGAAAGATGCCCCAACGGAGCCAGCGCACAGTGGTGGCAGAGGTGGACGTGGTGCCCGACGAGGTGGCTTTACAGGGTCTGAAGATGGTACGTTCATGAATGGCTCTATTGCATCGTCATTGAGTCAAGGCATGATGCCAGATTTTGCTTAAATCTGTACGGGAGTCGAGCTGATCCATTACAGCATTCCGTGACCGTAATGCAGGCAGCATCAACAACCGCGGCAAACCTACTGATGATGGCCTTCGACAAGATCGTCACTCTGACAGGATAGGTGGCGGACGCATCCAAGGCAGCTACGATGGTCGTGGAGGGAGAGGAGGTCGTGGCGGTCGCGGAGGTCGTGGCAATCGAGATGATCGTCACAGTCGCACCGGTCTAGCGTAAGCACACTCTTGTCCTTTTGGTCGTCTCTGAGGAGAAGCTGGCTCGGCCTTCACTTATACAAATACCTAACAACTATCTTACAGCGAGCACACCAAACAAGCCGACCAGAGTTGGGGCGCTCCCACTGGTGATGCAGAATGGAATGACGAGAGAGCCGGCGAGGCTATCGCAGCATCTGAAGTAAAGGAAGGTGGATGGGATGAAGGCGCAACACAGGGGGCACCAGGCTTCTCTGATTCTGGAGCTGCTCAGCCTGCTGATGATGGTTTCGGCTCCGGTTCCGGCGCTGCTGGTGCTGGTGCTGAAGCAGCTGAACCCGCGGAGCCAGAAGATACAAGCATATCATATGCCGACTATCTTGCACAACAGGCACAGAAGAAGCTAGATGGCCTCGGTCTCAAGGAAGCTAGAAAGCCAAACGAAGGTGCAAAGCAGGACAAGAAATGGCAAAACGCCAAAGCCATCAGCCGCGATGAAAGTGACGAGTACATTTCAGGAGCAGGAGAAAAGGCGAGAAGGGAGAGGGATAGACTGAGAAATGCCCCGAAGAAAGTGGATGTAGATCTGTCATGGAAGACATCTACTCCTGATTCCCATGGCGGTGGTCGTGGCGGCCGTGGCGAGCGAAGAGGCGGCGACCGTGGTGGACGTGGAGAGTATCGTGGGCGTGGCGATGGTGAATTCCGTGGTCGTGGGCGCGGTCGTGGTGATGGAGAGTACCGTGGACGTGGTGCACGAGGAGGAGGAGGAGGAGGTGGTGGTGGTGGTAGTGCTCGTGGCAGAGGAGGGAGTGACTCGGCTCAGCCTGTTGTCGTCGATGACGAGGCTGCATTCCCATCCTTGGGCGCGTGAACGACCATGTCACCCAGCAGACGGTCTGGAAATGGTCGGTAGCGGCTCTGCTCCACTACCGTCGAAAATCATCCATCTTATGCCGGTCCGCCCTTCTTTTCGATTCAAAATGCAGCACTCTTTCTCTCTCGCTCAGGTTCGAGGGCTCTATGCTTCTTCTTCTGCTGCAGATCGCCTGCCGTCCCACTGTCACCGCCTGTGCGCGTTTTCTTTTTCAATATTCCTGTACCGCCCAGCAACCCAGCGAACACGATGTCAGCAAAAAGCGATTGCATAACAAGAGCAGAATTCTTGTTTAAACTGGAGGGGAGGAAAAAAGACTGAAGAAGGATGCTGTTGACCACCCTTGCTCGGAGATCTGGCCGTCTAGCTTAAGTCAAGTAGCTGAAACTCGATAGTTTGTTGTAGAAGCAGCAGACTTCTTCCCGCTTTATTCTGTCTCAAATCGTGTATGTGCCTGCTTCGCTCTGCAGATTGACGCAATGAGAGTGATGTGATGGCTTTTATCTCTTCTACAGACGTAATCACTGCATGCTACACTTTGTCTCGTACTGTCCCATAAGTGGACATTGATATGTATCACCATTGAAACCACTATGTATTCCCCAGGCTGAAGAGCCAGCCCTGGGGCTTTGATGCCACCAGCCACGCAGCTCTGATCTACTTATCACGTCCACACTCAATATCTGCAACCTGTTTTCTTTCAAAGACCCGGTTTCTGCAGGGCTTCGTCCCAGATCCTCTGAGTTCTTGGCACACAAGTCTCTCTCTGCATTCCACTTGCGTCACCGACCAACCAGTAGTTCTTCAATTGCTCATCGCGATCGATCCTCTTCCGAAGGTAATTTCCAATCCTCATCCGCGTCATTCCTCGGCCAGCTGCCAGCATGCTTCGAAGCGGCATGCCCTGCCCGCGCTCCAGCGACAAGAACCCGCGTCACCAGCCCCTTCGCCCGCTCTCTGTGCAGCGCAATCTCGCCCGCCCGCTTGGCTTCGCCATACGTCCTCGCGGCGACTAGGCCCTTCCATCCGGCGAGCACGGCCTCGTCCGCCGTGCCGAGGAGGAGGCGCGGTGGGGCGTGAAGGTCTGGCCCTGTCGTGCTGGGTGGGTCTGAGAGGTGGAGGAGTGATCTGGCGAGCTGCCGGCCGAGTTGTAGCATGCGGAATCGCGAGATGATGCTGGCTTTCTTGGGGGAGGGGGAGGTGAGGGTGTGGCCTTGGTGGACGCCGTTGAGGAGGGTTTCGCTGACCGGATTTGAAGTGGTAGGGTCGTTCGGGTGGGGCGGACTGCGTGGGTGGTGGATGTATAAGGCGGAAAGGTTGGTTGCTTTTGTTTTCTGTTCTGCTTTGGTGGGGGGGTCTTCTTTGTCCCGTGGGTGCAATGGGTTTGAGGACGATGGTGCGATTGTGGTCGCGAGTGGTTTGCTGAACGGAAATTTAAGTTCGAAGTCCTTTCGGAGGGGTGTGATTATGAATGGGTGAAAGCTGTACCCAACTGGAAGGCTCTTCTCGTCGATAGCTGATAGACGTCCGTTACGGCTGAATGCACGAGCGAACCCTTTTTCGGAGTATTTCATTGCTGGGAGGATGAGAGATGAGAGATAGGCGTTTGGTGTTACTCCTATGAGATGGTAGGTCGGGAAGGAGAGGAGGCTGGTGACCTGTTTGATGGAGAGCTTGTCCGTGCAGGATTTGCTCAATGTCGGCTCTGCGTCTGCTCGGGACGGCTTGCGTCGTACTGCTCCTAGGTCAGAGAAGAAGCCTCGACCTTGTAGAGATCCTGCTGAAAACCAGTCTCCTGCGCTGCTTGGAGGTTCGGGGTGTGGTGATGACCATGGCACTGATTCTTCTGCACCGAGTTCAGACATCAGGATCTCCATGCTGGCATCTCCACAAGGCGCTTCGCTACTGAACATGTGAATTGAGACGTTGGAGCGGATGGCGAAGGGCGGCTGTTTGACTTTGTTATTTTGCAATCTATCTAATTCGATTGGCTCGTCCGCGACTGGAGAAGACCAAGCACAGAGCCATTCACTTTGGTAAGTACTGTCCGGATCGAGCAGTTGAGATACTTCAAAGAGAAAAAATTGGTTCAGACCTCTGAGACTGAGGATTTCCGCATGGCTGTCGTGAAGTACCTGGCCATGACATTTCGGTAAAGCTGAACAAGGGAGGCATTTACAACCGGTGCTTAAATGAAGATCAGACGATAATGACCTAACAATCAGTAGGATGGAAGGGATTGCACACGCTAAGCTAACACAAGTCAATTTTTCAGAGACGGAGTTCGCATCTGTTCTTATGCAAGGTCAGCAATGCTCTTGTACTCGCGTGAACTTGCTGGTGTCGAGTGTATACCACGGACGAGCACAACAGCGCTCATTGGCACCCACTCGCGAGAGCTATGGGCATGGCTTCTAGGCTTGCTCTTCGTTGGCAGGTCATCAAATGTATGTAGAGCTACAGCTGCTATCCGTTCTTCGAGGGCGCCCATCATTGCAGAATGCTTCGAGCAGTGAGACTGTCGTCTTTCGTTCGTCAGTCTGCAAAACGAAACAAGGTTAGCAGCACGTCAAAGTAGGCTGCGTTGAAATGACAAGCTTGTGCCCCTGAATGTTGCCAAGGATTGTCTTTGTAATACTTACACGGATCATTCTGCACCGGTCCGAAATCATGCCAGATCACGCACAGACCTCACCCCGTCGATCGATCTCCAGACTTCACTGCTTGATGTAACGCTTCCAGTGCTTGTGACTTGACCTGTAGCTTTGACGATCCATGCTGATGGTTGCATGAATGTAATCATGGCAAGCGAGACGCCTTTGTCACCCACCAAATCTCACAAAGGCGCTTCCTCGACCAAGGTTGTACCGCTCGATTCTGAGATTCGACAGGTCGCCATACATCCCGAGCTTCCAGAAGTAAAAGTGCCAAGCACGGATATGAAACCGTATCATTATCATCCAGTCTCCTGCGAGCTTCTTTCTTCAGAGGATCTCCAACACCACAAGCTTCCCCAACTCCAAAAGCAATACACAACACCTGAAGCTGCCTTGAAAGCGCAAGCAGAGGCAGTGAAGGAAGTAAAGGATAAGATGGCAGAGGCGGAGAGAAAGACACGAGAAATCAATCAGCAGATGGAGGAGATGGAGAAGACGAGAGAGATTGAGAGGAAAATCTACATGAAGCAAGGAAAGAACTTACCAGATGCTGTTTGAAGCCTGAGCGTTGTTGTCATTGTAGCCGGTCCTGGCGACAGCAGCAGAGTTGTGGTGCCCATCATGGAAATCATCAGCAGACTACTCTTGTCTTTGGATGGTCAGGTCATGGGAGTATTGCGTTGCGATGTCGGTATGCCGTCAAAGCTGGGCTGCTCAGAAGGACCAAATTCATGCATATGGAAGTAGAGTGGTTATATCGGTTGCTCAGTGACAAGACTGCGGCGTCCAGAGTCTCTCCAAATGCGCAACATCTTCCTCGAGTCAAGCTACTGCCCATATTTCCGCTCCTGCCTCAGGGCATTTCCCAATGCTGAACTTGCGGTGTTCAATCGAAATCGGAAGTCTTGGCAGCCCTGTGCAGTCCTGCATTCACTACTAATACTCTATTGAAGAATGCACACAATAGGCTGCGCATTGAGAATAGATTTGGAGCCTGGAGACTGCTAGGAAATATGAGACCGCACTTTCTCAATTCTGAATTTCGCACAACTTCAACGATACCTCACCAGCTCCATCCACATTCCGTACTTTGAAACTCGGCACCTCAACATTACAGACTCATACCTCGTCTCCAGCAGCGTCAAGATGGTACAATATCGCGGAATCAGCATTAGCATGATCTCGCAGCATACTGTCCGCAAACTTCCCGAGTACAGGCGTTTCATCTCAGTTGATCCATCCAGCATCGGCGGGCCTTCAGTTCCATCTGAGAAAGACTCTAGCGTCTCCTGCTACGTTCCGTCCTCTCCTGGTACTCAAATCTGGTTTGACTACTCGATTGAGAATCCTCATCCCCCTAATGCGCAGTATTACTTCAAGTTGCTCCACAACGGCAAGGGCTTTACCAGCTGGGACTGCACTGCAAAGCACGACTATCAAGGCAGAACAGCATTCGGTCTTAAATACCTTGGCACCCACCCTCAGACTGGCCTGCCAGTGATCGAGCGTCAGGCTTTCCGTTTCTCTGACCACCCTCCCAGTCAAGTTGGTCCGTTTGACGACTGCGTTGAACTCAGGGTTCATCGTATTGACCACCGCGAGCGACTTCCGCTCGACGCTGCCAACATTGCCACAGATGAGGCTTTGGTCGGAGAGGACAAATACCAGGATGGACTCCGGTAAGGATGCATTTCGCCTGTCTACCTTCTCAGCTAACAGGTCGCACAGTCTTGTCAATGGCGGCCTTCTAGGTCCTAATGATCCCAAACGTCGCTATAAATACCAACTCCTCGACCCGGTCGATAAACCATACGCCATCATCAGGCTCTACTATCGCCCTCTCGAATATCTGAGAGCAATGGGAGTGGTTGCACCTTCTAGCCGCCACTCTCGTCAGACATCTACGGCTTCTGATCCATCCTGCACATCCTCTGAATCCATGTCTGGGTCTCGTGCTGCTAGCATAGCTTCCTCAACTCGATCACCTGCACGATCGGAATCATCTACTCGCAGTGGCTCTTCCCGAAGCGGCACTCCACCAACCGACTCCGTCACAGCTTGGCTCCGTCATCATCGCTTGCAAAAATACATTTCCATTCTTGCTACGTTGAGCTTTGACACCCTCGTGACATTATCTGACGATGATCTTGCACGTCTTGGCGTTGCAGCGAAGGGCTCACGAGCAAAATTGCTTCGTGAACTTGAGATCTACCAACAGCAGCACCACAAAGAAGCCGGGAAAACAGCTCAGGAAGAAGGGAAGGAGAAAGAGAATGCCACCATCAACCGGGCGCCAAAGCCAGCTCGGTCTTGTCTTTCGAAACCTGGGAGGGAGACAGATAATGATTCAATCAGTCCGGCAGCCGAGGCAGTTTTGTCATCTTCTTCCAAATCCTCAAAGAAGGCTCGACCATCTCTCACGGTACAGATTAATGGCGTAGAATTTGACCTCGAGAAGGAGAAGAAGAGGAGACCATTGAGCCCATTCACACCTGGTGGCAGACTGCGACGTCTCCTTAGTCCCCTGCCTCCTAGCGCACCAGCACGCATCACTGCCTTTGGGCCCACTATTGATGATGAAGTGAATGAAATGTTGGCAGAAATGGAGTCTGGCGGCCAGGGAAGCAACGAAAGAGTTGGCAATCGGAGGACGACACGAGCAGAGCGTGGTGGTGGTATGCTGAGCCGGATCTTGGGCAAGAGAATTAGCAGGGGTTGAGCTTTGGTGCGTTGAATTGGTCTGGATGGCATTGGACATGCTATGCTTTTGCTCAAACAGGTATTCATGCCCTCAGCAGATTAGGGGTGCCATTAGTCTACATCATGAGCTTCTTGACAATGGCCTGTTCTTGTGTCGAGTGTAATGGTTTCGCGTTAGCTTCTTTAGCTGAACAGCTTTAAAAGCATCAGTGTCGCTTCTATTCCCTACCGAAGCGCACACCCAATTTCCGTTCCAGCGAGCAGGAAAGGATGACTCGGCAGATGTTGATCAGGTTGCGCAATGTCGACGTCACTTTAAGATTGTGCTGTTAGCTTTCTTAATGGGGCAGATCGTCAATGATGGTCATCCATTGACTCCAGATAAGAGTAAAGCGACTAAACCATCAGAGCGCTAATAGGAATTGAACCCAGTTTGTTAGTATCCCTCACAACTGCTTCAAACCAGAGCCAGCGAAAGCCAAGTTCCCCACGTTGATCTAGAGGGGTGGCCTGGATGACATGTTCATGCATGGTTCCGCCATTCCCGGCTTGCAGCTGCAGGAGATCTCCCATCGGTGTTACGGTGCTACTCGCCGAGTGGTACTGCTAAGGGTCAGCACCGGACAAGTGGCGCGTGAAGTGCCTGGTCTTACAAGAACGAAATTACGAGGCCAACCAGGGTTCGGTTAGAGAGAAGTCCTATCCTCTGCGATACTTCTTCCTGCCTGTCCTTCATTGTTGCCTTGGACTGCGAGTCCACATTGCCTTGATTCATATTGAATTGGCTGATCTGTTCAGCGCAAAGCTGACCATTGCCCACCAGTCTATCGCTATCATATTCTCCGACTTTCATTGCTTGTTTGACCGTTTTGGACAATGCTTGGGCATGTCGAATCAAGACGATGGTCGCTAATCTAAATCCGTTTTTGGGTCGAAGCTCCCCCCACCGAAGGCCGATTAATTGGACGCCTCAAAGATCGTTCAGAACTTCCCCAATTGTGGAAATGATGAGCATCTGAATTGTTCTCTGAATAATACTCCATATGTTGGTTGAGTTTAGCGTCACCCGAGGCTGCAACTGCGTGAACAGTCTTATCGTAGGCGAATGGATGGTCGGTTATGCCTATGAGGCTCGCACGATACACCATCATCCTGCTCATAAGCTGCAATGCGGAGTAGCTCGATTCCAAAGCGCAAACCCAAGGAGTGGCCATGAACCAATCGAGAAGCCTGCCGCATGCCAAAGTCCTCGATTCAGACGACCCCAAACACGCTGCTTTACCTCCAGTATTCGAATATGCTTTACCTGATGCTAGACACCCTAGAGTCGACTCGCTCTCCCATTCCACTCGTGGCAGTCATTATTCCCCAGCTGCACCATCAGATTCACTTTTTTCCTCCGAATATGAGCTTGCATATACACAAAGTCCCAAGTCTATCGGTCATGGCACACTGGAGTCACCTCAGGGCACCAGAACAACAAGTCTACCGGGGCATTCTCCCGATATTTCGTCCGTTTCTGGTGCCATGATAATGCCGCCACGCCACCGGTCCAGCGTGGGCAGCATAGGCACCCAGAGCTATGGTCATGGTCATGACAGTCTTGGAGGCTCTGATATATGGAGCCCATCTAGTTCCCGGGGTCAAGGGCGTCAACAGTCAGACGAACAACTTCCCAAACCTGTACCAGACCAGCTCGACAGCAAAAATGACAAGGGTGAAGATGGGGTTAAACATGAGGAGGAGGATCCGCCACCATGGAGTGAACTCAAGACCAAGGCCGGCAAAGAGCGAAAAAGACTCCCATTAGCCTGTATAGCCTGCAGGCGGAAGAAAATTCGATGCTCTGGGGAAAAGCCCGCTTGTAAGCACTGCATGAGATCGAGGGTACCGTGTGTATACAAAGTCACAGCTCGGAAGGCGGCACCAAGGACGGACTATATGGCTATGTTGGACAAAAGACTGAAGCGGATGGAGGAGAGAGTGATCAAGGTCATACCAAAGGAAGATTTGCCAGATTTGTCAGCCACTGGTCGAGCAGTCGTCAAACCTGCTTTACCAGTTCCAACCTCAAAACCATCCAAAATCAGTCCTACCAAGAAGCGCTCTGCTGAGGAGGCATTTGCTAAGGAGCTCGACGATTGGACACACTCCAGATCGCAGCCTTTGCCAGATGACCGTGGGCGAGTCAGAAACCTAAAGGATGGGGAGAAGAAGCTGTTGACCGAGGGTGCAGAATTCTTGCCTCCAAAGGAGCTTCAAGAGCATCTTGCGGAAGTATTCTTCGATTGTGTATATGGACAATCCTATCTTCTCCTACACAAGCCGAGTTTCATGCGCAAGCTGAAGGCCGAAACCGTTCCTCCCGTGCTTGTTCTGGCGGTGTGCGCCATATCAGCCAGATTCTCTACACACCCACAGGTAAATACCGAGCCGGCTTTCTTGCGTGGCGACATGTGGGCTGCGCCCGCTCGTGCAATTGTTGAAAAAAGACATGGGGAACCGAACATCACTCTGCTCACCGTCCTGGTCATCCTCGGTTTACACTACTTTGGTACCTGCGAAGGAGGTCTTAGCTGGTCATTTGGTGGCCAAGCTATGAGAATGGCATTTGCGTTACAACTTCATCGAGAATTGGATCATGATCCATTAGGTCGAAAGAATGACAAGGCATCGGAACTGAGCTTTACGGACAGAGAAATTCGAAGACGCACAATGTGGGCGAGCTTTCTGATGGACAGATTCAATGCTTCTGGAACGGAAAGGCCGCCTTTCGGAGACGAAGACTTTCTACGAATTCAGCTACCAATCAGGGAGTCTTATTTTCAGCTGGAGATACCTGGTTCCACTGAAGATCTAGAGGGAAATTTCCCCCAGCCTGTCAGCCTGGATAGTGGAAAAGTTCCAGATCCCAAAGAAAATATGGGCGTGGCCGCTTATGTAATACGTGCTGTGGTGTTGTGGGGACGAATCGTCAAATATCTCAATCTTGGAGGGAAGGAGAAGGACAAGCATCCTATCTGGTCGCCCGAATCTGGGTTCGCTCGGCTTCGAGAAAATATCGACTGCTTCCGAAATTCGATGCCACCATCAATCGTTTACAGTACACAAAACTTACAGAATCATGCGGCAGAACGAGTGGCTAATCAATTTCTCTATCTACACATCATCTCACAGCAGAACATGTTGTTCCTCTATCGTTTCGCCATCCCTCTCTCGCCCAGAGCGCAACCACCAAAGGATATGCCTAAGCAGTTTTTAAGTGATGCGGGTCGTTCTGTAGTAGAAGCAGCCAGCCAGATTTCACACCTCATCGAACAGGCTGCTGGTCACCTACTCACAGCGCCCTTTGCTGGGTATTGTGCCTATGTTGCGAGTACCGTCCAAGTATGGGGCCTATTTTCACAGAATCCACAGCTCGAAGCAATATCGAAAGAGAACTTGAGGCATAACTACAAATACCTCAGCAAGATGAAGAAATATTGGGGCATGCTTCATTACATGGCTGAAAACGTTAAGGATATATATCGCCACTTCGCTGACGCCGCACGCAGAGGTCCGCCGTCAACAGCGGATTCAAGTGATACGGACTCGTCACTCTTTCAGTATGGAGATTGGTTCGACAAGTATCCTCGCGGGATACCAGGCAAGGAATGGGACGAGTCATCCAAGAATGTCGGAAGGGAGCTTGGTTCAGAGGCGGCGATGGGCCAAAGATCAGATCTTCAGAGCGTGGAAGAATTCTTTGCCAGTCTTTCACCACCGACGAAGCCAGCCTCGACCAAAAAAGTGGCACGGCGTCACACCAAGAAAGCCAGTAATGTCAAAAGCCATGCAGCTCCCCAGAATCCTCCTCAAAGGAGTCTACATCATCAGCAACAGCAGCAGCAGCAGCAACAGCAGCAGCAACAGCAGCAGCAACAACGCCGTCAGTCGCAATCTCAATCTCGTCCTCGACCACCACCACTCCAAAACCTTGCTCCATCTCAGACTGCTCATCCACACACTTTTAGTACCATCAGCACAGACTACATATCCAGCTCCCCGCAGCAGCTCTATCAAACTCGTACTCCACAATCCAGCACTTTCAGTCTCGCACCACCACCGTTTCACTTCCACTCCGGCACTTCATTCTTCCCCACCAACTCCCTTCATCAGCTAGATCGCCAACTCGTGTTCGGAGCATACTCTGGGATGGATGGAATCATTGGCAGCAATACCAGCAATGTTGATCTGCCAGGCACTAGCGCTGGGTACAACATATGGGAAGGCGTAGGCATGAACATGGCTGCTGGTTTGGGCAACATCGGTGAAGGTGGTGGGGAACTGAGCAGTGCCGTGAGTGGAAGTATCGAACTACCTGATTCGAGCTCGGCATGGTTCATGCCTTTCAACATGGATCCGCCTCAGATAGGGGATGTAGATGCTAGTCTGTTCATGGGTGCGGGTACTGGAACTGCCGGGGGAGGAGCAGGATCCTTCTCCGAACAAGGACGGATGGGAGACGTGGGCATGACAGACGGTCAGGGCCAGCCGTGATCTGGCAGCGATTGAAGGAGTTATAATTTCGAGGTCTGGCTGTGCAAGACTAGTACTAAGGAGCTCCTCGGCATACTTTTGACGAAGCTGCTACCATTGTGGGAGCTCGAACGTGGGGCTAAGTCCATATGGACAAGAAGGTCAGTCCTCATGCTTACTTCGACCTCTCACTGGCCCGTCCCAAGCAGGAGTGCTTGACAGGGGTTCTACGACAGCTCCGATGTCGACTCTTCCGCCAGCGACGTCCAACAGTGGGCTCTGGTTGGCCTCTACTGAGAGAATTCAGTCCGAGCACCTCAGGAGACGTCCCGAAGGAGAGCAACGACAAGAACAAGCCTCGCTCGCAGCAAGACCGGATATGGGAGAGCAAGCAAAGATAGATGACCAGCACCTCGGGTCTCGATATCAACGTGATGGATAGGCAAGAAGATGACACAGTAGATGCCCATCCATTTATCCCGTCTCATCGATCCATTCATCACCAAAGACAAATTCCCTGTTATTTTTGACCATCTCCTGCGAAAGACTCACTCCTCCGCCCAAGCCCAAGCCCAAGATCTACGCAAACCTCAATCTATAAACCCACCCAGCTTCTCCTCCCCCCCTTATAACCTCGAAACGCCCCCAAAAAACCCCTCGAAATCAATCATCCCACTCCTCATCCAGCTGATCGATCAACCGGTTCTCCTCGGCATCATCATCA